GGGGGTGTTGGGATTAGTTTAGTTGATGGGATATTTATAAATGAAACCATATGTTGCCATTTAGTAATTAATATTGATTTTTGAATTATCAGATTAGAAAAGTTAAAGATAGATAGATAAACTGTTATCTTGCCAAAACAATTAAAATAATTAATTATTTTTGACCAAATATTTTTCTGGCCGTTTAACAAGAGCAGATGCGAAAATACCAAATAAATCAAGATTTTATGAATTATAATTATCTTATATTATCAATTCAAATTGTATATTCTAAAACATTTTGTGGTTTTACTTACTCGAAAGGATTTGAGTCTTTGCCACAAACTCAAATTTTCTAATCCCAATATCTTNATAGTTTTCTATACATAGTTTTCTATACATAGTTTTCTTAGATATTTCAAACTATGAATTCTGGTAGATCAAATAATCTAAGTTTGAAATATCAAAGGTTTGCACCATCAAGTTGCTAAGATATAAGGATTAGAAAATTTGAGTTTGTGACAAAGACTCAAGTCCTTTGTAAATATTAGAGAACATTTAAGATAACAGATATGTTTTGGGAAAATTACTTTTCGCTACCTAAAAAAATAGGATAAAGAACATAGGACCATCTCCTAACTGTCAAAACTTCTGTTAAAATTTTAGACGAAAATTTTTTTATTTAAAAAGAAGAAAGAAAATGAAACACCCCGTATACTTCATACGCATGCAAAGCTGCGCATGAAAACTTGACTTCACGCTGGGTTCAACTGAACTAATGAGATCCAAACCCCCTGTTCTTTTGGACTAATTAGAACAATTCTATTCAAATCTATTGTCAGGGTTTACTTCATATAACCACATGTAAACAAAATAAGATATATAGATAGATAGATAGATAGATAGATAGATAGATAGATAGGATAGATAGATAAAACTACAAGTAGATAAAAGAAGATTAGGCGGAAAAGAAAGGATATTATTCAACATGCAATAATTAATGAATTGCTAAAAATACAATCATAACAATTAAAATACAAAATATTTTTACTCATTATTTTTCTTTTTCTTTAACGGTTGGTGAGAAATAAAACAGGATTGGACGAAACCTACCTAAATCCATCAGGGGGGGGGCGAAGGTCCTGCCGCCCCTCCCCTGTATCCGCCCCTGGTTATAATGAAGATGTTGATAACGCAAATGCAGAAAAACTAAATATATATGAATATGCGAGGTTTCGCGAATAAATGTATTTTGATTTCTCGTGAATGTGATTAACGCCAAACATAGTGAATTTCACGTTTGATTGAAATCTTTCATGTTTTCTATCATAAATATTATTCTTTAGGAGCTATTGATCACTATAGTTTCAGTAGAAGTAAATAATTCCATTTACTGATGCGCCGATTTAAGGATTCATAACTCTGATTGGATAATGAGATAGAAAGAAAGATGTATGTTACCGCCATACTATTTCTATTGGTTCAGAATAGACACCAAACACATGACTGAACCCTGATTGGATCAGGCCCTAATGGACCGGCATACAGGAGTGAGAGAATAATATATTATTCTCAATAGAGTATTATTCTCAGTAGCTGTTTGGAATTCTAATACAATATGCAACCAAATGAATTTTCTTTTCTCTAACACCTGGGCTATAACAACATGGACTGAAGGAGCTACGATATAAGAAATTATGCAAAAAAAATCCTGATTGAATGTTTCATAATTATCTTTTAAGTTTTAAGAGGTTTCGTGAATATATTTCTACTATATATGCATTTAGTAACAATTTTAGCTGTCAATTTTCTTTATAAATCACATTTCGTGGATATTTTGGTTTAAATTTCTGCATTTTCAGAAACGAAATATTTGATTTTTTATTTTAAAGAAATATTTGTTGGGCAAATTTTTTTTATCTTTTACCATCCAAACCTTCGTGTAATCATGTGAGAAGTCACAAAAGGTTTGGGTCGGATCGGTTCAGCCGTTTTTAAGTTTATTAGATACTAACAAGTACTAATGAGTATGTATAGATTCCAGATTCCTTGAATTAATTATATAGCTAAACTATAACAAAAGAAACTTTAAAAGGATTGTTGACATATTTTGAAGTGTCCATATTTTAAAGCGTTAAAACGATAACAAAATAAATGTGATTTATAATAACGAAGATATTGTCGTTTTTTTTACCCTGATTTTGGGTAAATGTTTCTTTCATTTAAAAAAAAAGAATAGGTTACTTAGATATAATTCTTTCTGACGACTTCTGGAGAAATTAAAAAAAATAATAAGTTAAGAAAAATTCAAGGAAATATGCGCAAAACAATTTTAAGCTATAAAATTTATTATCATGACTTTAAAGGGTATAAGGGTAGGGTACAGGGGTAGATTTGTTATGGGTTGACCCGATAAAGTACATACGTACATCCTTTACGAACAATAAATATACTAGGAAATGGAACAAAATATAAAAACAAGAAAATTTTGGTCTGGTTTACTTTGTTTTTTCTGAAGCATTGTTTTAACTAGAGGATCAAATTCAATTCATTGTGTTGTGTACTACTACCCTGATACTAATAGTGAATTTCAATATTAGTAAATTAGTGATTTTAGTGAATGAGCTCAGTGCTCCCTAAAAACATGTTTAGGCTGATTAACATATTAATCCTAGTGACTGGAATCCATGCTGTCTGTAAAAGACAGAAAACTATCAGTTCAGGGGTAAAAAGAAACTAAATATTTAATGGGACTGTTCTTGCTTTTTAAGTGACCCTTTATGACCTACAATGCTAAGAGTATACACTTTAAAGTGAAGTCACTTTCATAGAAAACCCACAAAAAATCATTTTTCAGATAGAAAAGAAAGATTTAGTTTCGGGGATGTAACTCTTCATAAGGAGGGGCCACTTGAAATCTTGTCAACAGCTCCTTTAACACTTGAAATATTGTCGACAGCTCCTTTAACACTTGAAATATTGTTGAAAGCTCCTTTAAAACTTGAAATCTTGTCGACAGCTCCTTTAACACTTGAAATATTGTCGACAGCTCCTTTAACACTTGAAATCTTGTCGACAGCTCCTTTAACACTTGAAATCTTGTCTACAGCTCCTTTAACACTTGAAATCTTGTCGACAGCTCCTTTAACACTTGAAATATTGTCGACAGCTCCTTTAACACTTGAAATCTTGTCGACAGCTCCTTTAAAACTTGAAATATTGTCGACAGCTTCTTCAACACTTGAAATCTTGTCGACAGCTCCTTTAAAACTTGAAATCTTGTCGACAGCTCCTTTAACACTTGAAATATTGTCGACAGCTCCTTTAAAGATTGATTTCTAGTTTAATTCCAGTTTCTAGGTTTTGTCGGGTGAATATTATTTAAAAGAAGAAAACTCTAAATATTGTGGAGATGGGTGCTTGTATTCGAGACAAGGTAAAATTACACTGACAGCATTTCATTTCTTTTTTAGTATAGAGTAATTAAAGGTTAAAAGTATCTTTGATGCATGATTTTGAACATGACAAAATTCGTAGTCTAATTATTTTCAGTATCTGATACAATGTAATTTGCACAAAGGAAATTATTAATCGACACAAAATCTGAATTTATAATTTTTTTACTTTGCAACATAATGTCGCATACTTTGATATTTCTAACTCTAAATTTTGGAAGCTCAATCAGTCAAAGTTTGAAATACAATATGTAGTTTGAGATCATTAAGTTGCAAAGATACAGGGATTAGAAAAAAAATAATTTGTGTCGAGTTATCCAGTTCTGAGAAAGCTATGTAAAATTTAAGATACTGAACCTCCCCATACACTTGTACTCCGAAAGCGTACTGCATATTTGATGTTTGTAGTTAATGATAAGGCCATAATTTCTTTATATCCTTTATCAGTAAACTGTTTAAATTGTACACTCATGCTAATATACACGGACAGGTAGCTAAGTTCCAACCCCCTGGTATTTATCAAAGAACAAGACCCAAATTGTCTAAATATAATTGTTAAGATGACCCATTGTCCCATCATAATCAACCTTTTGGGTACTGCATGGAGTTTACTGACGACTGTTCATGTACAGGTATAGTACAATGTACAGTTGTACATATTTATCTTTCGATCATTACATATATCCAAAGAAATATAATGTCAAGATAGTTATTTCAGAGGTGAACGCATTTTTGTACGGTAGTCTACTGCCTCTGGGCTATAAAGTAAACAAAAGACGTATGTCAAAGCTTGACACGGGATCTATCTTTCGCATACAAATCAATGAAATATTCTTGTTATAGGAAACTATGTATTATAAGAGAATTATCAAAATTATCAAACTTAAATGCTTTTAACTTCCACGGATACTAGAGGAGCACTGATGCATCAATTCTTGTTTACAAATACCGCCCAGAGAGAACTGGTTTCAATATGTACGCAGAGAATACGAAACCGCAATTAACTTTCCTTGACTTATTACCTTGCATATATCTACCATAAAGGGACTGTAAGCGTAATTTCAATTGACCCTTCATGCAAAGATGGTAATGCACGATTTACACTGATTCGCTTGAAATCTTAATCTGATCAAAAATGTGGAAGATTCTGTCGTTTTTCAAAACTATTATTTTGGTTTCTGTGAGTTTTATTTACCAAATGTGCAAATCACTTTCGCAGAGAAACAGCAAATGTAAATAAACAGTTTTAAGGAAGAACAACATTCATATCTAATTCTAAGTTTATCATACAAACCTATCAAGGGTACTGTTGTAAATCAGGCATTGCAATCTTTGCATGGAGGGTCACTTATAATTACAGTTACACTCGTCTAATATAAATTTCTTATGCTGTACTGTAAAACACTTATCTACTAATTACAGTGTGTTCAAATAAAGTTACACTAATTTTATTTTATTTATCCATTTACTTATAATAATCTCCTGATCAATTTCTAATGCTACAAAATGTTACTAAACTTGTTACATTTATTATTTTTTGTCTTCTACAAAATTAAAAATCTGATAGGAACAGGTATTTTTTAACATTAAGATTTAGTTTCTAAACGAAGATTATAAGATATCATGACATTAATAATCAAATTGTTTATTAGATTTAACGCGTTTTAACTTAACATGGTATTTTTAATATACTTTCTTGTTTAAAATTCCATTTTCAGCATTTAGCAAAATAATCTTGCTAATTTTACATCAGGACACTGTGGTCCTCTTCCAGGTCTAAATGATGGAAAGTTCACAAAATGTAAAGATGCTAATGGTGTCCTTGTGAATATAAGCCCATTGACCGAACCCGAAGGTATAAAATAATTATATTAAGAGTCCATCTTCGTAATTTTAAGTAAATTTAATTAATACCATTTCCGATTCACAACGGAACCTTTGAAAAAAAAAATGTTTCTAACAAAAGTTTGATACCATTTATAGAAAATTTATCATGTTTAATAAAAAAGTTTCTTCATTGAAATTAATTTATTCCAAAGGCATTAAGTCTTTGCCACAAACTCTGATTTTCCGATCCCTAAAACTTTGAAACCCAATGTCGGAGACCTTAGATAGTTCAAACTATGAATTCTGTTAGATCAAATAATTTAAGTTTGAAATATAAAAGGTTTACAGTATCAGGTTGCGAAGATATAGGAATTAGAAAATTTGACTCAATTAATTTCTGATAAGGAAAGGCAAGAATTAGTTTAAACATAAAATATTGTTTTTTAAAGCTTTCACTTATAGTTTTCTATACATAGTTTTCTATACATAGTTTTCTATACATAGTTTTCTATACATAGTTTTCTTTACATAGTATTTTTTAGAAATCAAGTATCCTGAAGGGACTAGATGTACTTTAGACTGTTCAAGAGAACAATCACAGACAAGAACACTATTAATTGGACCTGCTCTTAACTCCAGGTATTAATATCTATCTAATATTCATATATATAACTCACATAGATCCAGACTCTTGAAAAGTTGCAACAATTTTGGCTTTGGCCTTTGATATTACCTGAATTTAAGAAGATTTTACTAATTTAATCTCCTGTTCAACGAAATAACCAACCTTAAATTCCCTACTTTTTTATTTCCAGGGAGGATAATTACTTATCCTCCCTATTTACAGGGAGGATAATTACTTATCCTAAATACATTGTTNAGACCACTTCAAACTAAACTAAATTATATATTTGTAAATGGAAAGGTAGGAGACCACTTCAAACTAAACTAAATTATATATTTGTAAATGGAAAGGTAGGAGACCACTTCAAACTAAACTAAATTATATATTTGTAAATGGAAAGGTAGGAGACCACTTCAAACTAAACTAAATTATATATTTGTAAATGGAAAGGTAGGAGACCACTTCAAACTAAACTAAATTATATATTTGTAAATGGAAAGGTAGGAGACCACTTCAAACTAAACTAAATTATATATTTGTAAATGGAAAGGTAGGAGACCACTTCAAACTAAACTAAATTATATATTTGTAAATGGAAAGGTAGGAGACCACTTCAAACTAAACTAAATTATATATTTGTAAATGGAAAGGTAGGAGACCACTTCAAACTAAACTAAATTATATATTTGTAAATGGAAAGGTAGGAGACCACTTCAAACTAAACTAAATTATATATTTGTAAATGGAAAGGTAGGAGACCACTTCAAACTAAACTAAATTATATATTTGTAAATGGAAAGGTAGGAGACCACTTCAAACTAAACTAAATTATATATTTGTAAATGGAAAGGTAGGAGACCACTTCAAACTAAACTAAATTATATATTTGTAAATGGAAAGGTAGGAGACCACTTCAAACTAAACTAAATTATATATTTGTAAATGGAAAGGTAGGAGACCACTTCAAACTAAACTAAATTATATATTTGTAAATGGAAAGGTAGGAGACCACTTCAAACTAAACTAAATTATATATTTGTAAATGGAAAGGTAGGAGACCACTTCAAACTAAACTAAATTATATATTTGTAAATGGAAAGGTAGGAGACCACTTCAAACTAAACTAAATTATATATTTGTAAATGGAAAGGTAGGAGACCACTTCAAACTAAACTAAATTATATATTTGTAAATGGAAAGGTAGGAGACCACTTCAAACTAAACTAAATTATATATTTGTAAATGGAAAGGTAGGAGACCACTTCAAACTAAACTAAATTATATATTTGTAAATGGGAAGGTAGGAGACCACTTCAAACTAAAGCAAAGTATATATTTGTAAATGGAAGGTAGGAGACCACTTCAAACTAAAGCAAAGTGTATATAAGATTAAAATCTTGTATGTTTTTAATCACAACTCCTCTTATTAAAGAGATATTGAGACAAAATAAATGTTTTGGATTTCTAGTTTGCTACCGGACAAAGTTGATTTACTCATGCTTGTGCTTAAAATCAAAATAGAGGAGCTAAGAGATTACAAACTCGTACTAGTAAATCAAAATAGAGGAGCTAAGAGATTACAAAGTCGTACTAGTAAATCAAAATAGAGGATCTAAGAGATCACAAAGTCGTACAAGTAAATCAAAATAGAGGATCTAAGAGATAACAAAGTCGTACAAGTAAATCAAAATAGAAAAGCTAAGAGATCACAAAGTCGTACAAGTAAATCAAAATAGAGGACCTAAGAGATCACAAAGTCGTACAAGTAAATCAAAATAGAGGATCTAAGAGATCGCAAAGTCGTACAAGTAAATCAAAATAGAAAAGCTAAGCGATTACAAAGTCGTCCAAGTAAATCAAAATAGAGGACCTAAGAGATCACAAAGTCGTACTAGTAAATCAAAATAGAAAAGCTAAGAGATTACAAAGGCGTGCTAATAGAGGAGCTAAGAGGTCACAAAGTCGTACTAGTAAATCAAAACAGAGGAGCTAAGAGATCACAAAGGCGTACTAATAGAGGAGCTAAGAGATCAGAAAGTCGTACTAGTAAATCAAAATAGAGGATCTAAGAGATCACAAAGTCGTACAAGTAAATCAAAATAGAAAAGCTAAGAGATAACAAAGTCGTACAAGTAAATCAAAATAGAAAAGCTAAGAGATCACAAAGTCGTACAAGTAAATCAAAATAGAGGAACTAAGAGATCACAAAGTCGTAATAATAGAGGAGCTAAGAGATCACAAAGTCGTACTAGTAAATAAAAACAGAGGAGCTAAGAGATCACAAAGGCGTACTAATAGAGGAGCTAAGAAATCACAAAGCCGTACTTGTAAATCCCGTTAATTGACTTTCTCCTACTGTCAAGTTCATTGTGGTACACAAGAAAACCATTTTGTTGTTACCGTCAGCATTTCGAAATTTCGAAATTTTAAACATTTAGTTCAACCTTTTGAACAAATTATTCGAAATTTTGAACAGTTTGTTTGAAATTTTGAAAATTTTATATGAAATTTTGAAAATTAAAAATTTCGTCTGAAATTTTTAACATTCTTTTCGAAATTCCGAACACAGTATTTTAAGTTTATTACATTTGTTCCTTATTTCGAATAAAATCTTCGCGATTTCGAAATGCGTTCGGTAGAGGATATTTCGAAACATATTTTGTTAAATAAAAAATACAAAAGGTTATTTTCTTTAGATGAAATGTGTCATCCCCCTTGGACTTGGTCTCCAATAAGAAACGGAAGGTTTGAATGTGACAATGTGATTGAGACAGGTGCACTTTTCAACAATTTTACAAATATATTTTTTGTGCATATGTTTTTAAGCATCCATAAATTCTCGTTGAAAACAATAATTACGTCATAACTCATAGTGGAGAAAATTCTAACTTTATTTTTTTGTTACTCACAAATTAGGATATTTGGGGTTTTTAATAAATATTTTGAGATTACAAAACAAACTAATTTAAAATGTAAAAAACTGTTTATTTAGGTTTTACCAATTGTGTTTTGTTTTCTAGACAAACCTGTTGGGATATTGCCGGGCCAAACATGCACAATAAAATGTGAAAACCCAACAATAGGTATATCACTTTTTTCATTTTTTATTTACTTTTTTATGAAAAAATATTATTGATTTAGACAATGAAATCAAAGAACTGGCAGAGAGTACAATTATTTGTAGAAAAATTCGGTAAAAAAAAACTTATAGAACGATTTGTTAAGTGCACCTAGGGTTGTTAATAGTTTTTGAAAACGATCGTTTTAAAAAACGACCTACCCGTTTTAACTTTTAGAAAACGAAAAACAATTGTTTTTGAAAACGATCGTTTTTATGAAAACGATTTGTGACTGTTTCGTCGTTAACGAAACGATGAACTTTATAAAAACGATCGTTTTTTTTGAAAAAAAATGCCATGCAAATTTATTGAATGTCGTCTTACATGAAGGTAAAGAGTTGTGGGTGATCTAAAACTTCTTAATATTTTCATAAAAACTACTCAATGATAAGGTCGGTTTCCTCTCTTCGTTAACGATCGTTAACGAAGGGTCGTCTTAAACGATCGTTAACGAAGGTTCGTCGTTTACGATCGTTAACGAAACGACGAGTTTTATAAAAACGATAGTTTCGTTTTTTTTATTTTTCGTCGTCGTTTTTCAAAAAAAATGAAAACGTTAACATCCCTTAGTGCACCTTTGTATATAGTAATATGTCCGATGTACCTACTGGGCGGCGGCTGCGGCCACATGACCAATTATATCTATGTGTTGCATATGAGATCCATTTACAAAATTGACAGAAGGGAGACGGGGGGATGGGGGGGGGGGTACAAAAATAACCATTTTTGGAAATTACTAAAAACATTATAGACAACGTGTTCGTATATATCAATACAATGAAGACGACATTCGATTTCAATTTAGATTTCTACCGAGCTTCCAAACAGCATGCATATTGCATACACACAAACATGGAAACAAATGAAGCTGTAAATTAACAGATTCTCTTTTTTTACTTGTAAACTTGTAATTTGAAAGAGCTTGTTAGAAATCAAAACTTAAATATAGGATATTCATAGTCATTGTATTGATAAAATCGCCGACCACTTTATCATAATTTTCGTATAAACTTTGTGATTTCGGCAACCATGCGACGTCATTCTCAAAGAGTGTACATTGTACATTGGAGTTTCCGGAAGATACTTAATTTTCAGCTGGAAAATTAAGGATATTTCCGTAGTCGATGATAATACAAACTGTCTGTAAGAGGTAGGGCCACTAGAAAAATACAGCAAATTTTGTAATACACAAGAACTCAGTTTCGGGGTTCTTTGTACACAAACGAAACCGAAACATGAAATTGAACCCAGTATTCAAGTCTGAATATACAGTCCAGAGTTATAGTTGTGTATTACAGAATTGTGTATTCTATGAGAACAAAGGAATTGAGTCTTTGTCGCAAACTCTGATTTATTAATCCCTATATCTTTCCAACCCAATGTCGTAGACCTTAGTGATTTCAAACCATGAATTCTGATGGATCAAATAATCTAAGTTTGAAATATCAAATGTTTACATTATCTGGTTGTAGAGATATAGGTATTAGCAAATTTGAGTTTGTGGCAAAGACTCAATTTTTCTATTGAAATGGCTCAGATGTGAATCGGAAAATGCCAATCTATAAAAGAAGGATCGCTTGAAAGTACATAAACAGTCCCTTTAAATATTGTTTTACGTCTTTAAGTCTAAATATTTGTATGAAGTGGAAAAGGACTGGGCTGGCAAACTAAAAATGGAAAAATTCTTCTTCTGGAGCACATTCAAAATATCTGCGGTAATACATTATTGATTCAAATAAGAAAATTAACTCAGTATTTCTTGTTGAGTTTCCAAAAAGAGTATTCAGTCAGGGATAAATTGATTGACATGGTTACCCACAAAGAGTGCGACTTAATAGACAAGACAACATATATTCTATAAAACTAGATAAATGCAAGGCTGAAACCAAAATTCAGACTCCAGAACGTTAAGAGCTCTTCAGGTCGTCATTAGAGTCTCTAATTTAGTGAAAGGTTGTGAAGGACCGCATCCAGTGGAGAATGGAAATTACAAAAACTGTACAGTACAAGGAGAACCTATTTTACTCTCAGGTACAGTACAGTATAAGAAAAACCAGTTCTAGTCTCAAATAGAATAGAGTACAAGGCTAACCAGTTCTAGTCTCATGTACCGTACAGTACAAGGCTGACCAGTTCTAGTCTCAGGTACAGTACAGTACAAGGCTAACCAGTTCTAGTCTCAGGTACAGTACAGTACAAGACTAACCAGTTCTAGAATTAGGTACAGTACAGTACAAGGCTAACCAGTTCTAGAATTAGGTACAGTACAGTACAAGGAGAACCAGTTCTAGTCTCATGTACAGCACAGTACAAGGCTAACCAGTTCTAGTCTCAGGTACAGTACAGTACAAGATTAACTAGTTTTAGAATTAGGTACAGTACAAGACTAACCAGTTCTAGTCTCAGGTACAGTACAGTATAAGACTAACCAGTTCTAGTCTCAGGCACAGTAAAGTACAAGGCTAATCAGTTCTAGAATCAAGTACAGTACAGTACAAGGCTAACCAGTTCTAGTCTCAAGTACAGTACAGTACAAGGAGAAACCGGTTTATTCACAGGTACTGTACAGTACAGTACAGGGCTAATCAGTTCTAGAAGCAGGTACAGCACAGTGCAGTACAAAGATAACTGGTTAAAGTCTTGGGGACAAGACATTACAAGAAGAACTGATTAAAGTCTCACTCTCGGGAACAGTACAGTACAACAGAGCCTAAATTTAAAAGTTTTATTCAAGAAAAAAATTTCAAACTGTAGACATTTTTTCTGCTATTTTACCATCATTGATTTCAGATGGAGTATATCCTGAAAACACCATCTGCTACCTTGAGTGTGATCACCCATTGGGACCAACTTCACTATTTTCAAGTCCATCAGATCATGTGTAAAATGTTTACATTTCATAAACTCTTAAGATAAAAAAAATAATCTTGATAAAAAACCAATCACCTCAATCAATTATTTTAAATGATATTTATGAATCTCTAAGTTTAATATTAAAATATTTAAAAATAAACCTTATATTCAGGCTTATGTATATAACTTGTGAAACATATAAGTGGGTAGATAGACAGGGGAGAGCTGTTCCAACAATTTCCCAATCTTGTCCACCCCCACCCACAGGGGTATTTCCTAGTGTAAAAAGTAAGTTAACTCATATCAACAAAACTTCTTTAATTTAAACTATTTTAACTTTAATAATCTATTTTAATTAAGTTTTACATTATTACATAAAATTTTTATATGATATCACACGGAAACATTTTGAGACTTCTATATTTCTTGTTTTTCATTCTTTCTTCTTGATCGTCCATTCCTCGTTCATCCTCGTCCAGTGAAGGGGGATTAAGGAAACCCATAACTGCACCCCATATGCAAAATGGGGATTTCTGAGCCCTGAAATCTCTCTGGAGAGGAGTCTTTCATAACAGTCCAGTCCTCATTTCTGGTCGAGTAAAAAAACCGGTATCGTTGTGCATGGCTTGTATACCCACTAGGGGTTAAACTCCTTCTTTCATTGCACCAAGCAGAAGATGAAGTTTTGTTTTAATCTATGTACAATTCTTGCTTCCCCTGTAGGATACAAGTAATAAATTCCTTGACAAAACTTTTTTATCGACTTTCTTTTTCAGAATGTCCTCCACTGAAAACTGAATTGTTAAAGGGTGGTTCCTACAAATGTATGTTCCAAGGACAGGAAATTAAGGAAATGCTCCAGTATCCGGAATATCCGGCAGGAAGTTCTTGTACTCTAGAGTGTGAACCAGGACTATTTGAACGGCCTATGTTTGCAGGAAATAAAATCTATTGTATTGAAGAATTTGATGGAACTAAGGAAGGATGTAAAAAAAGTTTTAGTTAAAATAAAACAGTTTTTTTTTTACTTTAACTACAGATATAAAATTTTAAAGTCTTATGGCTTTTAAAGTGCCAATCTGAAACATTTTTTCTTTTTTTGACTTTATGTGAGTGTATAGCTGACAAGTTTCCACTGATTTTACTTTTAATCTGCTGATATTTGCCCTTTTTGTTTTAATCCGTTTTTAATATTAATCCTCTTTTGGTTTTGATACTTTTTTTGTCTTGATACTACTTTGTGTCTTGATACTCTTTTTGTCTTGATCCTTTTTTGGTCTTAATCCTTTTTGTTATTAATCCTTTTAAGGTCTTGATTCCCCTTTGGTTTTAATCCTGTTTCGAGCTTAATCCTCTTTTGGTCTTAATTCTCTGCTGGTCTTATTGCTATTTTAATCGTAATCATCTTTTGGTCTTAGTCCTCTTTTGGTATTAATCCTATTTCTATCTTAATCCTCTTTTGGTATCAACCCTCTTTTTGTCGTAATCCTCTTTTGGTCTCAACACTCTTTTGTTGTAATCATCTTCTGGCCCTAATCTTCTTTTTGTTGTAATCATCTTTTGGTCTTAATCATTTTTAGTCTTAATCCTCTTTTGGTCTTTATTCTCTTTTTGTAGTAATCCTATTTCTATCTTAACCCTCTTTTGGTATCACCCTTCTATTGGTCGTAATCCTTTCTTGATCTTAATCCACTTTTATTCTCAACACTCTCTTTGTTGTAATCATCTTTTTGTATTAATCCTCTTTTAGTCTTAATCCTCTTTTGATCGTAATCCTCTTTTGGTCTTAATCCTCTTTTGGTCTTAATCCTATTTTGGTCTTTATCCTCTTTTGGTCTTAATTCTCTTTTGGTCTTAATTCTTTTTTGGTCTTAATCCTCTTTTTGTCTTTATCCTCTTTTGTTATCAACCCTCTTTTTGTCGTAATCATCGTTTGGTCTTAATCCTCTTTTAGTCTTAATCTTCTTTTGGTCTTAATCTTCTTTTATGTTAATCCTATTTTGGTCTGAATCCTCATCTAATTTGCCATGTTGAAATCTCACATCCTGAATTAAGTGGCGGGACTTGAAAGGAGAAGAGTTTGATTGGTCCAAGATAAATAATGCTTGTCCACCTTCTTTTTGTCCAACACCTCCTCCTTTGATTGGTAAGGACTTTATTAAAGGACTGTGCACGTATTTCAAGTAGGTGATTTGCGGAAGCATGTACAAAACGTTTTCTTACAGAACGTTTCCTCACTGAACGTTTCCTTACACAGAGGCGCATCCCAACCAACTCTAAATTAATCATAAAATATTTCAACTATTTAAACTGGCAAACAAAATAAATTTTTTGGGTACCTTTTGTAAGGAAACGTTTGTTGCAGGAAACGTTTGTTGCACTAACGTTTTGTGTAGGAAACGTTCTGTGTGGAAATATTCAGTATAGAAACGTTCCGTTAGGAAACGTTCAGTAAGGAAACGTTGAGAAGAATTTTGTTACTAACAGTTTTTGAATTGAAATTACATTTTTCTGGGAACCCGGAAAAATGCTTATATTAAAAAAAAAAATAAAAACATCATGCTTACAAAGCTATCACGAATTAAAAGTGAAGGTGTTCAATATTCATATCTACCGATTTAAGAAAATCTCCGAATTGAATCAGATATGCCACTCTATAAATGGAATATTCACTTGAAATTACGTCTACAGTCCCTTTAAAACTAAAATATTAAAGATTAAATAATTGTAGAGTCTGAAGTGCAGTGGAAGTGTACAAAGTCGAAAGAGGGAATATTTACAGCCAATGATACCTGTATTTTTGACTGTCAGCCAAGGTATTCATTTTATACTTATATTAAATACAAAGCAATCAGAGGGCTTCGCGCCCATCTTCTATTTCAACTTTTAATTGTTGCTTAATCTTTCAGCATTTTTTCTTCATTGAATCAATATCAAAAGTTTTGCAGATTTACAATTTACAAGTTTGCGGATTTTCAAAATTTAAGAAAATCAAAAATTTTTGGAGACAACTAGACTTTTTAAAATTGTGAGCATTATAAACCTTCCCTGGGGTCATGTGAGGTCCAACACAAAATTTGGGCCCGATCGGTTCAGTCGTTTTGATGTTTATTGTATAAAAACAAATGGACACCCAGACAAGCAAAGTATACATATAGATATCTATTATTTTTCTCTAACTCAATATTCTCGTAACTATAGTGATCTGAACGAGACAGAATCTACTTTGGCATCAACTCCCACAACAATTGTCCAGAGCACCATTACCCTAGAGAGCACACAGACCACAGCAAGTATCCGAACCACACCCAGTCGATCCACAACAGGTCGAACAACAACCAGTCGAACTACAACAAGGAGGACCACAACAGGTCGATCCACAACTAGAAGTACCACAACAAGTCAAACCACAACAAGGAGGACCACAACAGGTCGAACCACAACCAGTCGAACAACAACTAGGCGGACCACGTCCACTACCAGTGAAACCACATCTACTAAGCGGACTACAAGGACCACAAGAAGTACAACTGAAAGACCACAATCCTCCGATGTGCCAAACCTTAAACATATTGCCAGCTTACTTGGCAATCAAGGAATCTTTGGAGTAGATGGCCCCATAAATAGTTTAGATAGCCCTATAAATAGACTAGATAGACCCATAAATAGACTAGATATACCCATAAATAGACTAAATATGGAGAGCTTTTACCCAACAAATGACGAGATAAATTTTAACCTACTCGAGTTGAAAAACGATCATGGTACGCCTCATAATGGTCCTGTTATTGTGAGTGAATCCTATACTATTATCTGCACCCAGAAAGGATGGGTAGAGAAAACTGGGAACCAAGTAGCTCTCATTGATATATATGATCTTAAACTGAAATGTTTAGGTAATAAATAATGCACAGATTTTAGCAATTTCAAATCAAATCTAATTTCGGATTATTTTTTAGAGAAATTTAATGTGACGATGAAAATAAGTTCAACTATTGGAGAGCCTGTGAATAATGTTAAGATGACCAGAATTAAAACCATGTCACCTCTTCAGCCTTCAACAACTTCCACTGTATCTGGACCAACCCCGCCCCCTTGGGGAGATTATTCATTAAACGCAAACATATTCAATACCAGTGGAACAATCATAACGGAAAATGTTGACAACGGAACAGCAAGCTTTTTACTTCCCGAAGTAAGTTCATTATTATTATTATATATTTATATATATATTTTAATTGTCTGTTTGTTTGTCCGTCTGTCTGTTTGTGACAACTCACTTGTCCCCCGGGCCCAAAATTTATAAGAGTATCGTTGAACGAAACTCCTGAGTTTAATTTTTGGGGTCTTAACATTTGTGCAGATTTTGAATTAAGAGATACGAAAAAAGCAGAGAATATGTAGAAACCAAATGAAATAATATTTCATAACAAAAATATTGATATCCACAAAACTACCTAACCCCATTCATGAAACCCGGGTCCAAAAACTAGTTTTCATAACGTTACCCTGTCTTAAGTTTTGGGCTCAGGGAAGGTTTATAGACCGTCAAAGATGAAATATTTTGCCCGGAAAAAATGTTAACAATTATTACTTTTGAAAATGCGCCAATTCAAAAAAGAAAAATCCGCAAAAAATTAGAGAACGATAAAAGATGGTGACTCTCAGAGCAATAGTTAAAGGATAAAATTGTCTATAGGAAAAGACGGCTCCGAGCGCCCTAAAAGATTTACAATTGCTGTCTACCATTGCAAGCCTCTAAAAACGTCAAAACACTAACAAATTTTACAGAAAAATGCTGATTTGATTGATCATATTTTTTGATAATCCAGGGAACATGGTTCTTTAAAATACTGGATGATGACGACATTTATTTTCCATTTTATACCTTGGTAACAGTCAACTCTTCTATCACAGTGGATTTTAAACTAGGTGAAAGATCTTCAATTTACATACTAGTTTCTACGTGTACTTAATAAAAAAACATTTTTTCAAAAAACGGAATGTAAAAATATAAAAAAGTAGATATCCAATTTTTGACAAAGGTTTTAAAACCCATAATTCTTTAAAACCCTGATTTTGAATCAAATTTAGATAGTTTAAATTACAAACCTAAATAAATAATTGACACTCTTATGGCATGTGCTATAAAGAACATACCAGTTAATATAAAGGTTTAAGAATTAAGAAGAAATCTCTGCTTTAAAAGCTTCATGTTGATGAAATTTGTCTTTTTTAAAAATATATCTGTCAAAAGAATTCAAAAATAATGTTTCACCCAAAAACATAGTTTAACTAATAAAAATAACTGAAACTAAATTAAAAATATTTTAAATATAGGGGTTTTTTTTTCTAGAATATAAAGGAAATCTCTCGTTTGATGTTCTGGATAGATTATCCAAAGCTAAGTTGGATTCCCCCACTGTATCATGCTGGCAAGATTCACAGGAACAAAAATAGAAAAATAATTCAAACTATTTAAGAATTATTTAATAAAGCAAATCATCAAATAATTTTGAACTAAAGCAAATATTTCCTTGTTCTACAGGAAAAAAAGCAATAAGACTATCATCACAAAATCGATTGTCTGATTAAAAAAAAAAAATTGTAAAATTTTTTTTTGTATTTTGTATTTTGTGCACAATTCGCAAAATTATTATCAGTTTTTGCATTATATATATTTACAAATTGCAATATGAAATATGATTTTGCAATTTGTAACATCATTTTTACAATTTAATTATTTTTTTTTATATGCTTTTCTCCTATTGCATTGCAAAACTGTTTCACAAATTGCAGAAACCTTGGCATAATTTACAATCTTTTTTTGCAATTTGCAATATGTATGTGCTACAATATGCCCAATTTGCAATATTATTTGAATGGTGTGACTAAATCTTTTATCGACATAAATACTATTTTTACCCCAGAAACTGAACATCACAGCAAAAACAGATATGGTAGAGAAATCTATAGTTATTAAATAATGTAAAATATGTTTTAGCATAAAATACAAATTTGTTTAGTGTAAAGCATTGATGTATGAATATTGTTTAATTGAAAACCAGAACAATGTAACAAGGTGTGATGTGAACGAGATTGTTGCAGATTTTGGTAATTAAATCTTTTCAAATTCATAATCATAAAAATCATAACAATTGGTCACTTTTTTTTAAAGATATTTGTATGAACGGAACCTGGGATGGATTCAAACTTCCTGGATTTGAAATATATCAGGAGAAATGGGAAATAAGGTTTGAAATTCTGATAAAAAATATTTTAAATTATAAATTATTGATTTATTATTAACAACAAAAAATTTAAAAACGTCTTACTTTGATTATTTTCAGTAAAAATTGTAGATAGAGTATGAATATCCTGTGAAAAGAAGAAAATTTTTAAAATAACAATAAAAATTTTTTTAAAGTTTTATTTTCATTATTTTAGTAAATATAAATATCTGATAAAAAAACGTTAAAATTTTGAAAATAACACATCTAGCTTTCGCTCAATTTTAAAAAATACTTTTTTTTGTAAAACTGAAAGAAAAAAGAATGAATATTCGACAACTGATTCAGATATCTTAAAAATAACAGAATATTTTCACTCATTTCAAAAAATGATTTTGCTTGTTTTTAGTAAAAATGAGAGCTAACATATAAAAAGGAATAAAATTCTTAGAAAAACAGAATTTATTTATAAACGTTTTTTTATTGTTCTTAATAAAAAATAGGGGGTAAATTAAGATTATGTAAAAAATGTGAATACACTATTATTTTCAAATTTGTACACTCTATTATTTTTAGTAAAAACGGAACTGTGAACAGCTCTCTGACACTGAATCAGGTTCCTTTAAGAGATTACAATTGTACCGGGAAGGAAATCAGTGGGAAATATATTCAAGAAACAATGTAGGAATCATTTTCTCAAGATTAAAGTCGAAATTAACAGTTTTTTATTCTAAAAGCAATATTTAACGCAAAGTTTCATAGCAAAAAATGTCTATAAGAATTTTGCTTGTCTTTCTGGATTTGATAAACTAAATGTTTTCAATCTTTTTCTTTGAAAAAAAAGATTGTCTACAGTGAAAAGTTGAAAACTTTGGATTAAACGTTGATCTGATTATTTCTGAAAATTGTGTTCTAAGGTCAAAACTTTTGTGTCGAGTATACTTAATCTTAAACGCTTGATCTCGATGTTCAATGTGGCCACTTTTGAATTTAAAGATCAATGCTTGATCACTCAGTTTCTCCTGTTGGGTATGACCACTGCGGAATATCTGCACAAGATTGAGATCAATGCATGAACTTGAGATTCACAGCACAAAAGTTTTGATTTCTAAATTTGTTAAAACAATTATAAATTAAAACTTCTTTTGCGACTTTTTTTGAATGACTAGTCTACTAGAATTCTACTGTTTTCTGAATAATAATAAAGGATTAGTCTACTAGAATTCTATTGTTTTCTGGTTATCGCAGTAGTAGTTTATAAAAAAAACTTTTTTGAAAAAAAGACTTCCTCTGAAACAGATATATTTTTATCTTGATTTTATGTTGTATCACTGTTCAGATTTAGGAGTCTTCGAAACAAATCACAATCTCTGAAATTCTTTCTCCGTCATTCTGGGATCAAGGCTAGAATCAACCTGACAGATATCAAGACTGGAGTGCCAATAACCCAGTTTAAAATGACGATACAGGAGAAGGATTTTGACACTAATAAAACCAAGGAGACTATTATAGATGTTGTGGATGCGAAACAACTTATAGGTAGCGTTTTTCATGGAACTACAATAGGAACGTCCAACACAAATATACGCAAATTGTGAACCGAACTGTCTGGGAGCAATATAAACAAACTCTGTCCTCTCACAACCGGTTCTAGAGTAGGAGAGATGCTTTAAGAAACGCCGGTCCTGTTCTTAAATTTGTGTTGTAACAATTAATATCCAAGGAAATCATTATGATTTTTTTTTTATTAATTATCATTNCCCGACCCATAATAAATGATATTTTCCCCCTGGATTCTTTGTTTTGATCTCCTCCCAATACAGTACACAGAATTGACGCATCAGTTAATGTAGTTCTGTCAATGTATATTTTTTGGTGCTTTTTTGTTTGTTCTTTGAGTAAAAACGTGCATTATGTAAGAAAAGCAATTATTTTGGAAATTAAAATAGCTCTGAACATTTTCTTTTTTTTACACGGGGCCAAATTTTAAAACAGAATATAGGCAAATAACTAAACGAAAACGACCAAAAAAAACATAAGTATTATAACTGTCGTTCATGAGTTTTTCATTTTAAGCAAAGTTTTTTATGATAAAAATTTGTAAAAGCGAACAAAAAAAGTTTTCTTTCAAGTTTTTTAAACGAAGGAAAAGAATTGACAACACACTACTTCATAGGTTTACCAGTTGGTCCTGTAAACTTTACCATTAGTGCACCCAATTTTAATTATACGAAGGAACTCAGGAATATTACTCCATCCACTCTAGTTATAAGTTTGCAGGTAAACAGTTAATAAATATGCAAAACTTACTTTTTATGATAATTGTAATATGCAATTGAAATGCTTTATTAAAGGGATAACAACGTAGTTTCTATTAGACCCCCCTCCCCCCCCAAATTGAAAACGTGTCAAATCCGATGTACAACTACAAACTTTATGCTTTTATCTGAGCAACCATGAGGTAGATATCATCATTCTTCTCTGTTAAAAAGTATCGAATTCTGTAAATTTCATTCCTTCTATCTGCCTCATAAATCCACATATCACGTTTACGATCGAAAATGATTAATTTTCAGCTTATATAAAAACACGAATATCTTTAATATTTTTACTCAGAGACAAATATATAAAGGGTACCGGACGTACGACTCAAATAAAGATGGTCCTTTAAAATTACGTCTACAATTCCTTTAAGGATTACAAGGCATGATATATAATGAATACACGTACATAGACGAACAATATATAAGAAGAAAGAATGTGCAATGTGCATTGTACATACAAACTGCAGAAAATCAAAATAACGCAATTAAATACATAGAAGATGTTGCAGGCCTTGGACCATGGATCCATAATAATAAATGCTTGTTTAGATCAACAAATTTGATTCTAGGAACGCCAGATTTGTTTGTTTTCTTAATTGGAAGGGCCTTCATTTAATTTCTCACCAATTTAAAAATGAATCTCAAACGTATTATGAAATATTTTTCTTCGCCGACAAACTTACAAAATGGCCGACAAGAAATTCTTTATTTGTTAGATATTGCGGATTTCTCTCATGGGGTAGAATTTATTTTCAAGGCTGTCATTGGTCAATACAATTTACAAACTATATTCCTGCACTCTCATTGGAAAAAAATGTACGGATATCCAAAGAGAGAGAAAAAGACCGAGTATGAATTCCTAAAAATTATATTTTTATACTTTTTAGGGAACTTTGAGGAAACCAATGAATTTGTTACTAAAAGACAACTTATCTGGAAAACCTATTCAAAGTAAGTATTTTTAACTTTAAAAAATATTTTATTTTAATTAAGGTTTGTGGGCATAAGCACACGCATACAAAAAAAAACGATATATCAGCAAACCTGTTTCCAATTAGTTTTCGAAGTCTTTCTATTTTTTGTTTATTTAAGATTGATTAAAAGATGTGTACCCCACGTTTTGTATTTCGCCATCTATATATAAATTTGGCTTGTCTGTCTGTCTTGGTGTTTGTCTGTCTGTTTGTATCCAATAAACGTCAAAACGGCTGAACCGATCGGGCCCAAATTTTTTTGTGGGACATCTAGGGACCCCAGGGAAGGTTTATGAAAAATCAAAATTTCACATAATTGTCTCTATCAAAATTCGATCGTCATTAAATTTTTAAAAATTTTGAAAATCCGCGAAATTTTTTGTAAAAATCCGCGAATTATTTTTGTTTTGTTTTACGATGTACACAAAGAGAACATGTTCACAATTAATTTAGGAGATGGGCGCGAAGCGCCCTCTAAGGCTAGAAAGAAGGGCGCGAAGCGCCTTGAATTTCTAGTTGTCTTATAATTAAATATTTGACATCTGAGTATACCCTATAAACCATAGTTAACACTTGTTTGACGTGGGCTGATCTTGCTTTCTATTTTTCCTTAATCTTAACTATCGATTAAACTTTGCGGTAGACAATAAAAAATAATTGTTATTGGACGCATTTTCGTTGATTTGCTAATGACTTATGGAAAATTGAACTCCCAGGCACGATTGAGTTGTGTCTTTTTTCCCATTTACTAAAAAATTAACCAAAACGGTTGTGTACAATATTAATTCGTTTTTTCTCTTACGTCTATCCTTTCCTTTCGTGTTTTACAATCTCTGAGTTCTCCGTAAATAAAATCTCTCTCATATTCTCCTATTCTATTCTCTATTTCTTACTTCCTTGTGCTATCCTACTACTGCACATTAATTGTGATCATCCTGTCCAAATGTCATGTCCATCCGTACACATCTCGTCTATTACTTGACAAAGATGCAACACTCCGGCTAGAACACACACCCTCCAACCCCCCTTGCAAATATTAACTTGGAATTGTTTAAAAGGAAAGACAAGACATCAGAAACTGTTAGGAATCAGTTTCACTTAATAATTCAATAACTGGCATACGTTTGAAACTATTTTTACATATAACAAAATAATTTGCAACAAGGATGATGCAAAGATTTTTAGATATAGTTTACCATTTTAACTAATTGCTTTATGTAGTTATGCTCGATATCTGATTAAATAAAAATGAATATTTTAACAATGGGAGTAAAGCAGATAATAATTCAATACGCATATGAAGTTTGTTTGTGCAATTATTTGTATGTAAAACCCTGTACTATAAAGAGAATATGGTGGTACGGTTCGGAATCGTTGCATGATACTTTAAACAATTCTATAAAAATCCCTTTTATGTAAAATGTTAAATGTACTTTTTAAGTTTTATAAAAATAGAAAGATTTTTATTTTTTTTTAGAAATGAATTGGACCCTAATGCAAGCTGGTGGTATTCCAACTAAAGATGATTCTGACACAGGCCGAGGTTGAAATAAAATAGTACAAGGGCAAATAATCTAAACTGCTTTTATTACTATAGACTACTAGCTGAAGTCCCCGGCGTTGCCCATGAAAAAAATCAAAATTTGAGGCAAATCGGCCCAGGGGTTTCTGAGTTATGCTGGGACATACAAACAAACAAACAGAGATTACAACTTTATATATAACTAGCTTGGGAACCCAGCGTAACCAAGGTTACTCATAGCTCCTACCCCAGTTAACCCGCACTTTGTCGATTTAACTGGAAAACTGAATTTTTGCTATAAAAGTAGATCCACTTAGCTTAGACTCTCAAAGCTAAGAATATTCCTGTTGTTCTAACGAACTCTCCAATCAAACTTTGAGGCAAATCGGTCAAGGGGTTCATAAGTTATGATCGGACAAACAAACTAACAAACCGAAATTACAACTTTATAAATATAGATAAATAGTTATCAAGGAAGAAAACCAGAGGTCCACATATCCAAAAAAGTGTACTGCAGTCTTCGGGCATAGCGTAAACAAAAATTCCTGAGCAGTACAGACTGTGTTTGCATTACTTTAGCTCCGAAACTGCAATACACTTTCTTTGGAAAAAAGGATTTACAGTTCATTTTCCTTGGTCCATACTTTTCTAAATTTTAATTTAAATTTTTTCTTGTAGTTTGATAAAATTATAGGTTTTCTATTTTTTTCTATTTTAGGATTTTTATCGACCATATTTCCAGACAAACGGTCTTTTTTCAATCTTTCAAAACTTTCGGTAATAAAATAAAAATCATGCTCAGAGCTTGGAACTTTTGTTGATGAGATTGAGTTAAACTTCCTCACTCATCTCATCGTAGAAACATTAACCGTACTCTCTTTCTATAATCTTAACTTTGATCAAAAATGAGTGATTTTGAGTTCAACTTTTTCCATTCATATAAAAATTTTCCAGCGTATATTATATATATTTATTCTTCGTAAGCATTTGAGTCTTTCCCCAAAACTGTAATTATCTAATCCCTAATCATTACAACAAAATGTCCAATACATTATATATTTCAAACTATGAATTCTGTCAGATCAAATAATCTAAGTTTGACATCAGGATGATATAGGGATTAGAAGATTGAGTTTGTGGCAAAGACTCAATTCTTTTATTTCTAAAATAAAACATATTTTTTTATTTGTTTAGAATGGTTTAATGTCAGCAGCAGGCTACAGTGAGATACATGATAAAAATATTTCAATATTCTCGAGAGGGAATGTTTATATTCCTCTAGATACTGGCAAATATGTTCTTCAGCTCTATACTAGAGATATTGTAAGGAAAAATCAATTAAGGGACTGTAGACGAAATTTCAAGTGTCCCTCCACTGTGTAGAGGCATGTCACATTCACATTGACTTTAAACCTAATTGTCTGAGCATCGATAATTGCAAAGTTAGAAGTGAATGATGTGAATCGGCCATGTCACTCTTCTAATAGAGGGTCACTTGGAATTAAGTCTACAGTCTCTTTATACTATCTTTGAAATCATTTAAGATTTTGTAACTAGCTTGGGAACCCAGCTTTGCCTGGAAACTAAACTTTCATTAAAAAATCCAACCCATGTTCAACTATATTAACCAAGCTCAGAACATTCCCATGGTTCACAAATCAAAATTTGAGGCAAATCGGTTAAAGGGTTGATGGGTTATGATCGGACATACACGCAGACAAACAGATATTACTACTTTATATATATATATAGATTTTTGCAGAATAAAACAACAAAGTTCACCAATGGTTTTTACGAAAATGATGTTTACAACACACAAAACTATTTTGAAGATTTGCATTTTTTCAACATCTATAAAACAGGTATATTAAAATAATTCAAGGACCCTCCAATCGAAATTTGATATGGTTCCCTTTAAGCCTTTGTCTTATCATGCAGCAAAGAAGTTTGTACTTTCTCTTTAATTATACAGGACAATTGTAATGTAAATATACTAAAACTTTACGGAAATGAGTATAACAATGCGGTTTATAAAAGTTTTACTCAAAATATTTTATTTTTTGAGACTTTCAAAAAATGAATGAAAATATTTTCTAAAATATAAAATAGCTTGCATAATAACAATTTTAAGTGTTTCTGCTCATAAAATAAGGATCACTCCATCATCCTTTATCCGTCAAAAGTACAAAGGGTACCATTGTGAATGGGACATACAACTTTACAAATTAAGGATTCCTTAAAATTACATCTATAGCCGGGCCTTTAAGTCAAACTTTCCGTAACATTTTTCTAGGATTTGGAGACTATCTTGAAAACACTACAGCATTGAAGAAACGTGATAATAGAGCAGACAATGGAGGTGTTAGTAAACTACTAATGAGAGAGATAGCTCTAAGTGTATCTGTTTATGATGATGATTGTTTCAACTATTGTCGGGAGGTGGAGAGGTGTGATGTTAAACAATGTCAGAGTTTAGACCCTGATAGTGTTATTGTTGAAGGTGATTTTTAACCGTTTTATCCAACAAACATTTTTAGTTTATTTTTTAAAATCATATTTTGGTTTTGTACATTTTTTTAATCAAGTCTGTACGTTATGAAGAACCCATTTTATCATTCCATTTCATTTTATTTTATATTTTGTATTTATTTTATTTCATTTTATCACATATCCTGTATTTTAAAATGAATTTGAACTGCATTTCGTCTCCTCAAAGAAATTGAGTCTTTACCACAAAGGCAAATTTTCAAATCCTAATATCTTTGCAACTAGATGGTTTAAACCTTTGATATATCAAACTTAGATTATTTGATCTACCAGAATTCATAGTTTGAAATATCTAAGGTCTACATTGGGTTGCAAAGATACAGAGTTTAGAAAATCAGAGTTTGTGGCAAAGACTCAATTCCTTTGAATCACCTATTCAAATCCTTCCTGAATCTTAAACTGTGAATCGGTGGTTCAAATTTGAAACGGCATAAAGGTCGCAGCTCAAACTTGGTCCCTGTTTAGTTATTTTCCGTTTACTTTAGTAAAATGTGAGAAATGTGATGAAATTGAAGAACAGTTTATGGAAATATCTCCAGGAAGAAAAAATGTTATTGAACAAATAGGATTTCCAATCACTAAATTGAATAAATATGTAAGTTTAGAAATAACATTTAAAACTCTCTTATCTGGACTCGTTATAAAGTTTTTGGACAGAATTTTTTGCGTGAAGGTCAAACCTTTTTAGACTATTTTTGTCCCGAGCTAAAATATAATCTAAAAAGGCTTTAAAACACGTCGTTGCCCACATAATACTATTACACTTACAGATAACTTTATGAATTACTAGTGTACTTATGATACAATAATAGTTAATTTCAGTGCTATATATATATATACGGATAGTTTAACATTAAAGCACGTGCACTAAGATTACTTGATTGAAAATCTACAATAAAATTTATCATAAATAAAAATGTTTCAGTGATACAGTAGTTTCATAATATATCAATCTAATTTGCATTTCTAATTTTAAAAAGAAAACTACAAATCAAAAATAAATTATATTTAAATTTTATTTTTCATAATTTGAATTTGTTTAGCGAGTAATTGCTTCTGATTGGAGTATAACCTGTAAAAAAAAGGGGAATAGTATGAAGGACTATCTCCCCCCTCCAACTCATATCAGGTTTATTCTAAATAAATTTTATGATTTTTGATAAAAAAATATGATTAAAAAAAATAATTCAGGAGCATTAGGCAAAACTTATTTGTCCCTTGTCTTTTACACAAAAAGTTGGATAAAACTAGGTGAGAAAATAAAAAATATTTAGAAAGAAATTGATCTTTGCCCAAAACTCAAATCTTCGAATACCTTTATCTTTGCAACCTGATGGAAACCTTTGATCTAACAGAATTGATCGTTTGAAATATCTAAGGTCTACCACATTGGGTTGCACAGATATTGGGACTTGAAAATCAGATTTTTTGGCAAACACTGAATCCTGTTCAATCCAGGGGTCCATATAATTCCTTTTTCAATCCCATTTGGGATTGACAAATTTGAAAAAAATGGGGCAAATTTTTTAAATGGGGGAAAATTTTTTTTAAATGATAATTTAAAAAAAAATTGGGGGCATTTTTATTTAATTGGGGGAATTTTTTTTTAAATTGGGGGCAAATGTGTTAGTGGAATTTGAAAATGTTTTTTTAATTGGGGGCAAAAAATTATTTTGGGATCGATAAAATCAGCTATTTTGGGAATTATATGGACCCCTGGTTCAATCCTGTTAGCAATAAATTAAATATTTTATAATAAAGTTAACAAATAATTTAAGTTTGGAAGGAGAACTGGACAGTTTTGATCCATTTATTAAGATTGCTTTGGGTTGGGATTCTCCGAACCTAGAGGTAAATATTTTTAATTTTATATTTTTTTGTTGAACATTTATTTGCAAAATCTAAATGGATCCTTTTAAATATTCTTATGCCAATTTACAATTATTTTTAATTAACAACCAACTCTGCAAAGTTTTAGTGAACAAATTCACGCATTTTCATCTAAAAAGACGATAAATAATAGTCAAGGAATACTGGTGCTGAATCGGTTATGAATCTCTTTAAATCTCTTAAACTTTCTATTATGAATAAAATTGTTTTGTATTATCCTAACAAGTAAATATCGTTGAATTAACTTTTCCAAAATCAGCCCTAAAACTTAACTTTAGGTTGGGAATGATTTTAACCTCAATGTTGTTGTTTTTAATACAACAACAAACGAACCAGTTTGTGGGACAGCCCCTGTTGATTTCAGAGGTAATTTTCAGTCATTGTAATCAATTTTGTCAAACTAGCAAGCATAAAAGCAAAGGTTGTAGATGAATGTCTCTTTTATAAACTTGTTCTCAACCTCAAAACGTCAGCTAATGAACTTTATCAAAATTCCAGCTAATCAACATTATCAAAATATCAGCTGATTAACTTAATAAATCCAGAATTGAATTGTCAGCTAATAAAATTTATAAAATCCAATATTAAAATTGCAGCTGATCAGCTTAATATCATATCATCCAGGATAAAAATGACAGCTGATCAACTTTATATAATTCAGGATCAAAATGTTAGCTTATAACTTTATATAATTTAGTATCTCAATTGACGTCAGCTGATAAACTTTATATAATTTAGGATCAAAATGTCAGCTGATTAACTTTATATAATTTAGTATCAAAATTGACGTCAGCTGATAAACTTTATATAATTTAGGATCAAAATGTCAGCTGATTAACTTTATATATTTCAGGATCAAAACTGACGTCAACTGATAAACTTTATATAATTTAGGATCAAAATGTTAGATGATTAACTTTATATAATTTAGGATCAAAAATTGACATCAGCTGATTAACTTTATATTATTTAGTATCAAAATTGACGTCAGCTGATAAATTTTAAATAATTTAGGATCAAAATGTCAGCTGATTAACTTTATATATTTCAGGATCAAAACTGACGTCAGCTGATAAACTTTATATAATTTAGGATCAAAATGTCAGCTGATTAGTTATGTATATCAGGGTCTAATTTTCAGCTGATTAACTTTAAATAATTCAGGATCAAAATTTCAGCTTATCAACTTTATATAATTTAGGATCAAAATGTCAGCTGATGACAGCTCTTGAGGCCCGCCAGTTAAGAACGAGACAGCTGACACTAAACTTAACAAAAGAAATGCTGAAGGAGGATGGTATGTACGAGGAGGGGGAGGAGGAGGAGGAGTATAAAGTCAAGCTGAAAGGGGATAAAAAGATGACAGATGACAAGTAAGTAAAAGCAAAAAATAGAGACATAATCCAATAATAATAATAAGTAGAAAAAACAAGCCTTCTATCTATTAAATCATAATTCCAATAAACAAAAGTCAACCCAAACCACTCTCTTAGAAAATCAACTATGCATTAGCTCAGTTTTCTGCAGATCACTACATTACGCACCGAAATCTTATTTAAAGGGACAGACCGGCTATGTAAGGTAGTTGAACTGAGTATGCAGTGTTGTGGACAAATTCTTTAGGATTCATTTGAGAAATATAAAACTTTTTAAAGATCTGTAAATTCTGAGTTTGAGCGCAAAGTGGACGTTTTGGGTGGTTACGTTTTCAGAAATTTTTTTAAATTATTAAATAACGACGACAAAAAATAAAGTAAAATTTTTTACATAGCCGGTCTGTCCCTTTAAGGGTTTATTATTTGTGTATAATTCTAACATATTTCTAGCTGGTACTTTGATATGTTTAATATTTGTGTATAACTCTAACATATTTCTAGCTTGTCCTGTGATATGTTTAATATTTGTGTATAATTCTAACATATTTCTAGCTGGTCCGGTGATATGTTAAATATTTGTGTATAATCTAACATATTTCTAGCTGGTCCTGTGAGATGTTTAATATTTGTGTATAATCTAACATATTTCTAGCTGGTTCTGTGAGATGTTTAATATTTGTGTATAATCTAACATATTTCTAGCTGGTCCTGTGAGATGTTTAATATTTGTGTATAATCTAACATATTTCTAACTGGTCCTGTGAGATGTTTAATATTTGTGTATAATTTTAACATAATTCTAGCTGGTCCTGTGAGATGTTTAATATTGCTCGAGTCATGAGAGACCGTTGCTGTTCTACTAACCCAGAACAATATGAAAGGGTGAATTTAAAACTTTTAGAAGAAATCCTTTTATTGTGGTCAAAATATCGAAACTCACCAATAACACTGCGACCTTTTCATAACAAATATCTATTTGATAGAATCTCCTAAAATATTCACAATTCTTCTTATACACCTTTAACTGATCAATTCTTGGAAGATATATCTTCATTTTCGAGCTTGACAAGTTTTTAATTCTGATAAATTATTCCTATTGTATGATTGTATCTGCTGTAGAAATGCGCTAAGAAGAGTTGAAAATAATTATTTCGTACAGAGGGTTAAACTTGGATATCTTCTTCCTTCTAGATCAGACAAGGCTATAAAGAGTACCGTTGTGAATCGGACATGTCACTTTATAGATAGAGAAACACTTCAAATTAAGTCTACATTCCCTTTACGAAAAGAATTGAACTCTTGCTTCAAACAACAATTCTCTTATCTTTGCAACCTAATGGTAAACCGTTTATATTTTAAACAACGAATTTTGCTATACAATTTATATTTAAAGATTAAAATATAAAAATCTATATTATTAAGTTTAGTCAAAATAATGAAAACTCTGACCCAAGGGCTCAATTCCTTTTGTTTTTTAACCTTTGGTTGAAAAAAGGAAACGTCCATTCCTCTTGAAATAAGAAAAAAAAAACAATTTTATTCATTTTGATAAAATTTTTTATTTATCGTTCCTAGTGCGTGAATCATGACGCTGAGACACATGCTCACATGGTGAACAAAGGCCAAGGTCTAGAAACTCTCATCATATCACAAGATATACCTAAGGTAAGAACAAAGTAAAACATTTTGGTAATTTTTTTGAACCAATCACAGATATGGATGGATATTATATAAGAGGGTGGCAATCCAATTATGTTTTATCATTACCTGGAGTTTTCTACAGTATTGGTTTAGTGTACAGTAGTTTGCCAATAACTCCTTTTAAACGAGAAACAAGTGCGTTTTTAGTTTGAAATTATATGTTTAGGGCTACGAAAATGTATAAGAGGTAAAACTAAATACCAAGCGTTGCGAGTTGGCTAGATAAATGTTAGTTCATTCAAAACTTATTAAAAAAAAACTGCGGCTACCTTTATTCTCCAATTTGTAAAACCTGTACTAATATAAATGAAGAATTTGACCAACACAAAAATAATCTAAATTTCCTACTTTCCGGTAATATTTTGAAAAATATGTAGACATGTAATTATCAAATTATAATAAAATGTTATTTATTATTTTCTAGGATAGTATTATCATGGTGTATGTTTCGCAACCAGTTATATTGCCAAAACCCAGGATTCATGGTAACACATAGATTATGTATTTGTTATATGTTTAAATTCGTTTTTTAATTTTCGGGATTCAAGAAAAGATCATCTAAATAAATTGAGCCTTTGCAACAAATCCCGTTATCTTTCCAAACCGATGATGTAGAGACTCACCGTCACACAGCTTAGAAATTTCAAACTATTTTTTTAATTCGAATTTTTTTCTCATCATAAAACAAAATATAAACACTAATTTTGTTTTTTAGACTCTAGTATTGAGATATCCATTCAGTACAGTACAAGGATAAACTATAAACACTAATTTTGTTTTTTTAAATTCTAGTATTGAGATATCCATAAAGTACAGTACAAGGATAAACTATAAAAACTAATTTTGTTTTTAGATTCTAGTATTGAGATATCCATACAGTACAGTACAAGGATAAACTATAAACACTAATTTTGTTTTTAGATTCTAGTATTGAGATATCCATACAGTACAAGGATAAAAATGAAGAAAAAGTAGAACTCCTTACAATCCCCCCAAGACTAATAAAAGGTAGAAAAATAATCAATGATATTTCTAAATATATAGAGCAGTTATCTCTCTCTCTGTCTGTCTGTTTGTTTGGATGTCCCATCATAAGTCATAAACCCCTTGATTGATTTGCCTCACATTTTGACTGGGAAACTTGGCGAAACCACGGGAATTTTCTCAACTTGGTTTAAAAGTTCTAAATTGAGTAAGTTGACGTTTTCCAGAAAAATGTCAGTTTCCCGACAAAGCTGGGTTCTCAAGTTAGTTTAAAGATAAAGGGTATCTATAACTCAAATGGAAAACAGTTTAATTATATATTTGATTCAGGGGGAAAAGTCAAAACGCAGTTCTTTTTTAAATTAGTTTTTCTGAATTGCACAACCAGAAGCACACGGTGCAAAGATGTTTTTTCCCCCAATATTTTTCTATCTATATTTTCACATCAAATTTAAAACTATTTTGAAAATCAAAATATTATTTCTATTTTAGAAAATATGACGTCACATAACATCCTTCTTATGAAATGCATCCATTTAAGCAAGGATGGAAGGTAATATTTTTTCAGACGAAAAACTTAAATTAATTAATTCTATATATTGAACTTTTATATAATAGAGTATAATTAAAGTTTTGATAACTGGAGAATACAAAATTTGTTCATTTTCACTAATTCATGTACTTGAAAAAAGGGAGGGGGGGGGGGAGTTCACAGGCAACTTGAATTAATATTTTTAGTGTAAAACTGTCTTCACCTCTTAATAATTGGATGCAAGCCTTGAGACAATACGATTTTGATCTATCTGCGGTATTCAAGGATGGAACTATGGTCTCTCAATGGTGAGTGTTTTTTTTTGTATTTTTTTACTTCACAGGCTCTGTGGATGTAATTTTAGGTTACCACCCAGCTTAAGACTGTCATGTTCGATTCCCGTAGTTATCCTTGAATGCTGAATGTGATATATATTTGTATTCTTCTGAAAATTTATTTTATTTGCGGGTTCTATGTTATATAGGTAAAAAGAGGTAAATAATGGACTGGATCTTTAAATAAAGATTACTTTCAAATAACGTCCTACAATCCCTTTAAGGTTTATACAATCTTTTAATAACACACAATAATCCGCAAACCCAAAATTAATTAATTACTTTAATTGCATTTTTTCTTTTTCTTATTTGAAATGTATCATGTTAGGTTTTGATTTTATTGAATTTTTTGTTGAGTTTTACAACCAATTTTTTTAGTTCAAAGTGCATGACTTTGTTTTGTCGAGATAATCCAAATATAGCAGATACATTCGGAGAGGGGTTGGGAGCTTCACTATCCCAGGTTATTTATAATATAAATATTGGGAGCTTCAATATCCCAGGCTAGTTTATAATATAAATATTGGGAGCATTACTATCCCAGGCTAATTTATTATACTAGCCTTAGAGGGCGCTTCGCGTCCATCTTCTAAATTAATTGTGAACATGTTCTCTTTGTGTACATCATAAAACAAAACAAAAATAATTCGCGGATTTTCACAAAAAATTTCGTGGATTTTCAAAATTTTCAAAAATTTAATGAAGATCGAATTTTAATGGAGACAAATATTTGAAATTTTGATCATTCATAAACCTTCCCTGGGGTCCCTAGATGTCCCACAAAAAATTTGGGCTCGATCGGTTCAGCCGTTTTGACGTTTATTGGATACAAACAGACAAGCCAAATTTATATATAGATAAATATTGGGAGCTTCACTATCCCAGGCTAGTTTATGATATAAATATTGGGAGCTTCACTATCCCAGGCTAGTTTATTATATAAATATTGGGAGCATTACTATCCCAAGCTAGTTTATTATATAAATATTGGGAGCTTCACTATCCCAGGCTAGTTTATAATATAAATATTGGGAGCATTACTATCCCAGGCTAGTTTATTATATAAATATTGGGAGCTTCACTATCACAGGCTAGTTTTAATATAAATATTGGGAGCTTTAATATTACAGGATAGTTTATAATATAAATATTGGGAGCTTCACTATCCCAGGCTAGTTTATAATATGAATATTGGGAGCTTCAATATCACAGGATAGATTCTAATGTGAATATTGGGAGCTTCACTATCACAGGATAGTTATAATATAAATATTGGAAGCTTCAATATCACAGGATAGTTATAATATAAATATTGGAAGCTTCAATATCACAGGATGGTTATAATATAAATATTGGGAGCTTCAATATCACAGGATGGTTATAATATAAATATTGGGAGCTTCACTATTATTATGATTGGTTCTAAATTATTAATTATAATAATTTTTGGTTTAAATTTGAGTATATAATAATTAAAATTTAGAAAAAAATGAGAATTTGCTGGTAAATTTGTTATAAAATTATTATAAGTGGGTAAACGGACTTCTGGCTTCTTTTTGCCAACAATCTTATTTTTGGCTTTAAAATACTAAACTATAAAGTTTTTTTTTGTCGAAATATGCATATAAACCATGTATCCCAGTTAGGCTTTCTTTTTTTCTATGGTGTAGGGGCCCGTGGGATTTTTTCTATATAGTTGATATACGGGAGTATAATGGTTTAAAGTCCGACTTTGTAAGGCCTATAAATTTCTGTAAGAAATGGAAAATGGACTTTTAAAAATTCTAGTGCAAGTAGTATTTCATAAATACATTAAACAGGAGGGAGGATGAAGGGAGGTTGATTTCATATATACATAGATAGCGTCAATATATTATTAAACAGGAGGGAGAATGGAGGGGGGTTGATTTCATATATACATAGATAGAGTCAATATATCATTAAACAGGAGGGAGGGTGGAGGAGGGGGGTTGATTTCATATATACATAGATAGAGTCAATATCTCATTAAACAGGAGGGAGGGTGGAGGGGGGTTGATTTCATTTATACATAGATAGAGTCAATATATCATTAAAACAGGAGGGAGAATGGAGGGGGGTTGATTTCATTTATACATAGATAGAGTCAATACAACATTAAACATGAGGGAGGATGGAGGGAGGTTGATTTCATATAAACATAGATAGCGTCAATATATTATTAAACAGGAGGGAGAATGGAGGGGGGTTGATTTCATATATAAATAGATAGAGTCAATATATCATTAAACAGGAGGGAGGGTGGAGGGGGGTTGATTTCAACCTTTTTTCTGTTCTAAAAAGATTTTTTTCTAGAAAGAAAAAAGAATGTGTTGCTGTTGTGCGGCGACTATCGAAATAGATTTAAAAAAGAAGAATAAAGCTACTGCAGCAAGGTTTAAATGTCTATACTCTGTGTCCGAAGGTAAAAATCAAAAAGAAGAATTTTCTTATATTATATTTATACATTAATGTTTTCATTTTTTAGTTGAAGAATTCTGGGATGAATGTCCAGATTTAAGTACGTGTAACATTATTCTCTAACATGGGGAATTTATTTGAAAGACCTTTTTTCCCTCTGAAGCCCTGAAATGATTTAAGAAAAAAAAACTATAATAAGTTCAAGCATTTATACATTTTGGGACTAATTTTAAACCAGACAAATACCTTAGACAAAAAAATAAAGAATTGAGAATTGAAATAAAGATTAGCTTTTGATTTGCGGGCTCTGTTTAGTTTTCATACAAGGACCAATAATGTACATAGTAAGGAAAAGTCCAGTTTTTCGATGCATTTTCGCCAATATTGAATCCCAAAATTAAATTCAAAAAAATATTTGTATCACAGGGGGCCAGAGGGCATTCATGTTCCTACACGATACATTATATATACATACATATTTTTTCCTTTTCAGAGACTGATAGAATGAGATTTAACAGAATGATGGGATTAGACTTTTTAGGTTATTTTTACCAAATAATCAATTCAATAGATAAGATATTTGTTTAATTTATTTCAGCTTTTATCATTATAAAGAAACATTATGTAAGGTTGGTCAAATGTTTTTAAACGCAAAACTAAATTTAATTAACCCATTATCGAATTAACAATAAAAAAAAATTGTCTTTTTCTGTTTTCAAAATACATAAATTCTCTTAATTTCCTTAAGTTTCTCTGCTGCATAGTTCCGCAATAGAAAGGTTTTTAAGGTAACCTTGTAATTCTAATTCAAGGTCACTAAAATTAAATTACATAAAGACAAATAACTTATACATTCTAGCTTTGATGAATTATGATGATGGAGGAATATCAAATAAACCAGTAAGCACATTTTTAGATATTTACATTTCTACGAATTTGTACAAATCTTAACAGTTTTAAGTTAAGTTTTCAGAATTTTATTTTGCTGGTTGGAATTTTAAAGAATAAAAGATACATTAAAGATTATTTTAAAAGTTGACGATTTCCATGCAATTTCATAAAAATGATTTTACTTTGCAGGTTACTCAAGGTGCTTTATAGAGACAACATGATGAAACCGGGATTAAACATTTTTTTAACGGTTGCTGTTACTTAAAATCGGCCTTAGTATACAGGGTTACTCACAAAGGATGAGACTTAAATAAAATCTTTGACTGGTATCAATTAATTTTGTAAAGAAAAAAACCAGTAGAACCATAACGGTTGGAAAAAAAGTAGAACCATAAATGTTAGAAAAAAACAGTAAAACCATAAATGTTAGAAAAAAAACAGTAAAACCATAAATGTTAGAAAAAACAGTAGAACCATAAATGTTAAAAAAAAACAGTAAAACCATAAATGTTAGAAAAAAATATATAAAAACTCAGTACAATAGTCAGAGACTCATCCTTTGTGAATAGCACTGTACATCAGAGCTAAATATATAGTTTTCTATCAAGCTATTAGTTTTCCTTCTGTAGGCCTTAAACGACGAATCCACATTTCTAGTTCAGTTCCTAGAACGTTTAATGAGTCAGGGTTGAGAAAAAACGATTCTCTATTTCAACAACTAGCGTCTGGGTTAAATCGTATGGAAGACGACTTGGTGGCGCAGCGGACTGTTCTTGGTGATGGTTTAGAGACTACTGAGGATCCTGATCCTCTCTTTATCTATGAAGGTTTAGCTTTTTTTAAATTTATTCGTTGTAAAAATATGTTTGAACTACATTTTTATTTACTCTGTTCTTGGTGTTGGTTTAGAGACTACTCAGGATCCTGATCCGCTCTTTATCTATGAAGGTTTAGTTTTTTTTTTACAATTTATTCATTCTAAAAATATGTTTGTAATACATTTTTATTTATTATGGGAACGTTCTGTTTCTTTCGAATTTCAAGAAAATTGTAGACAATAAAGTTTATTATATAAATGAGATTTTTTCAAAAAAGTTTTGTTTCAGATGAACCGGTAGATGTCCCAGTGATACAGGTTTCTTTTCATCTATTTTATTTCTTTCAAATATTTGTATCCAAAAGAAAATTTCAATGTTTCATTCGGAAAAATGAAGCTAAATAAAATGTCAAGTTGAAAGAAAGAAAAAACGTAAATAAACGCTATGGAAAAGTCGCCAAATTCACTAAAGCCACAGCGCTTAGCCCAGAAAATATTTGTTGTACATAGCCCAATATACTCCAAAGTAATGACTAAAAATTCATTATTTTATTCGATTTTCAGAGATTTCTTTATCCCTCAATTTTGTAATATAAATATCATTTTAAACTGCATGTTTTCCTTTAAATTTAGGGAATGATAATAATTTTTGGGATTGAAAAAATAAATTAAAACCTTAAACAAACAAATAAAAGTAAAAATCCCGGCAAAAAATATATTGTACCCGCATGATAACACAAGCCAGTCAAACAAAAAGATAATTTGTTTCCAATAGTTTCTTTTTATCAGATACCCCAAAGTAACGGCCAACATTTTTGGATTTTCTTATATGGGCCTTTTTTGCTTTGACTAGAAATGTCCTTAAAAAAGGCAGAACATTTTTTTAATAGTTTGTTGTTAGGAAGAACGTGGAAATGATTATTCTGCAGATGAAGAAGATGATGAAGTTATTTTGCCAGGTATTTAACAACGTATTCTTAGTATACAGTGGGGACCAGAAAACAGTGGTATATGATTGTCGTCTCCTTTATTTTTTTATCAAAAAATACAGCTAAGAATTGTTTGCATAATTAGTAATTGATTTCTTTCTAAAAAAGTGGTCTGAATAATTTATGAAATATATCCGTTAGAAACAATTATAAACCACAAAAACCTTAATAATTAATCTAAAGAATGAAGACGACAATCAGATATCATAATTTCAAACAGTGTAATCATGGATCAACTATAGGATAAATTGTCAGCGCGGTCCGCCATGTCTAAGTAGCTTGGCTCAGATTTACTAATCATACGAATCATACAGCTGTACATACGTGTATAAATTAAGATAATCAATCAATCTTCCTGTAGGAATTAGGGTTATCATAGATGTTGCGCACACTATTTCTGCAAAATCATCTGTTCACAGTGGGTTTATTTTTAGTGACGTTTTTTCTTAAAATTTACGAATTACAGTGGTTTTATTAAAATAATTCACGAAAACAATAATTTGTCCTATTCATTAGGGCTCACGTTAAGACATATTTGACAGTATATTATAGTGATTTGAGTTTCTTTTTCTGGACATTTTTGTTCAATAAATATAAGTATAAACTGAAAGATTTTGAAATTGAAAACAATTGAATAGAATACCCCCCAACCCCCCCTACAACCAAGCCCATAGCCAGGGGGTCAAGATGACAGGTATTCCCGAGCCCGTCCNAAATTCAATCATTAATATTTTCTTTAAGTTAATGAGATAATCCTAGATGATATAAACATTGATTTTGATAAATATGATTATTATGTTGTAGAATATATCAGTGGTTTTGTTATTAAGTGTTGGCATTGACCTATCTTGTAATATTTGTTTTAAATTTGCTCTAAAGCATGCCAGCGACAAACACACTAAAAAATAATTGGATAAATTTCAAAGAAAAATACTGCCTAAATCATCCTCAAAAAGAAATTGTGGACATTTGTAAAAACTCCATAAATTTTGAAACTTGCATGAAAAAATTGTTTTTTTTTTCAGAAAATGACTCAAAAAGTTGTCAATCAATTTACATTCAGATGTCCAATTTTTTTTGATCAAATGTATCTTGTCCCTGGGCATGACCAAGAACACCGTTATAATCTTCTAATAAAACTTGTAAAAAATATCTTGCCATAAGAGTTCGTAAATTTATTAAAAATCATAATGTAGAAACCAAAAATAAAGTCAGGAAGAAGCTTACAAAGCTTGTTCATTTTAGAAATGAATAAATGATATCTAATAATATGCTTGTATTCTTTACTTAAAGACACTTTTTTGTTATGTTTTTAAATTTTTCTTTAGATTTTTTGGTGTTCAGATACTGGATATCCAAACAAACATGGGAATTATACGTAAATGATAAACAGACAAAAGATTAAATAAAGAAAATTAGTCTTGGACTTTCCAAAATGTGGTAATTTGGTATGCAATTTTCACACATTTCCACTTATTTCAGTTTTCAATTTGTATAAACAAAGATATAGGAAACTTTCTATTTTTGAAGATACAAAAAAGATAAATTATTTTGAATTATTAGCTTGTAAAAGTAAAAATAACCTCAGATTGGTCATTGTGAATCAAATGAAGATTCCTAATTCAATATTTGTTGGGATACTCGAGTAACCGAGTACATATACTAAAGTTTGGTTCAAGGTTTTTAATTATAATTTTACAAAATCGAAAATTTTCTTTTTTATTCTTATTCTGGTTTTTAAGCTTTATGATAGTAGCTAAGGGCGCTGCACAAACTTGGTTTCTAATTTGCAAAAAAGATTGAGATAGCGCCCTACTGTACGCCCACTGTGCATCTTGTACAAAAAGGTTCCGGCATTGGGCATTTTCAAACGACGCGTACCGGCTTATCAGACGCCCGTACGCGTCAACCCTGCTTCCTGTCTAGTTGTTCCATGAGTGTAATAAAAACGATAAAAGTTGCTACCATATGGAAATTTAGATATATTTTTGAAATATGGTTTTGCCAAAAAATATATTTTTTTTTAATTCCAGAATTGACACCTGCAGAGAAGGGCATGAATGAACCTTTGTTTATGGTAAGTTCAGGCGTTCAAAATTAAAGGATAAAAATGTAAAAAAAATATTAGACGGAACAATCTTGGTATATCAAGATAGCTTGCAATTACCATATTTCACAAATGAAAAAGAAAGCTTTAATTTAGAATTAACATTATTAATAGAAGGTGATTAATCACTAACTAATGGAGTTAACACACTTGACAAAGATAACTTGAAGGTCGTCTTAGATATTTGGAATTATTTGCGTAATTTTTTCGTCCACGTACTTTTACATTTTTCATTCTTAAAAAAATAATAACAAAATTCTTAATTTTGAAAATGTGGTCTGCCTTTTTAGGTGCTTAACATTTTCTTTAACAGTTTATTATTTTTGAATTTTAAATTGATTATTCTTGCCATTTTTTCTTTTTCTTCTGTTGACTGTCCCTGATCCTGATAATTGTGCTTTAAAATATTTGTGGAGATATGAAGAATTTGTTCAGATTTCAATTTAAAAAAAAAAAATCTCAAAATCTCCGTAAATATTGAAAGCACAAAAAGGCATACCACATTTTGTAAATGCTGCAGGACTAGGGTTGTTTTGTGATTATTTAACTCTAGAATTATATTGTTCTAAAATCAGGTTTCAGAATAAAACGCCGCATATTATTTCATAGATTAAAAACAATCTTTATATTTCGTGGGACACCCTGTATGCTCTTTGCCTTTTTCTCGTCTCCGAAAACTACTGGTTTGTGGATTTATCTAATCTTGTTGGTGGATTTCTTTATACGATATAGGCTCCGCTTACCATTCAATGCTCTAAATGGACAAGCAAGATAAAATCTCATAAAATACTGTATTCGAGGATGACCCTGGAGTTAATATAAATGGAACTCCTGTGAAGGAAGGGCTTGAGAATGAAACAAATGAAAATGGTATGGACTACGCAAAGTCAAAGGATGATTGAAATCTTGGCTAAAATCAAAATCATTTTTAAAAATAAAACCATTTAAATTTTTTTGCAAATATACATGCTAATAAAGAATTGTCAATTAATCACAGTGATTCCTTACTATTATAAATTATATTGTTTTTTCTTATTTAATTTTTTAAAGTCTATTATGAACGACCATAACTGATTAAACTTTGGGACAAGAAATGTTGAAAGACGACATTTATAAATCATCTTTAACCTATTGAATATATTCAGGAGATGGGGAATCTTCTACACCTAAATCAATTGCACAGGTGACAGAGCTGAAAAATGTATTGAAAGGAACTGCAGATTACTTGCCACAAATTTTTATTTTCTAATCCTTTTATCTTTGTAACCTGATGGTTTAAGGCTTAGATATAGGTAAACTTTGGCAATTTGATCTAGTAGAATTAAATTGAAATATAAAGTATGTAATGTTCTACACCATCAAGTTTCAAAAGCAGTTCTTTTAAAAAAGAAGTATTTTATCAATTACCCAATTAAATGTATTTTATAATTTTTTTATCAACCATTTAACGAGCCTTAGACTCTTTCCAATATCTTATTTTACGTTCATTGCGTTTAAGCTAATTATGGACTGGTTTAAATTGTAAAGTTTATGTTGTAAATCATGATTTTAATCGAAGAATAAATATAATTAGCTGTTGTATTAGGATAAAAAAGAAAGAAAAAGTCACGTAATAGACTCAGCTACAGTAAAGGTATTACTTAATTGAAATGCATTTAGATCATTCAGAGAAATGAAAAAACGATAAATCTTTAAATATAAACAAAAAAAATTACAATTTAAAACTGTTCAAACGATTCATGAACAATTTTTATTTCATTCTTTCAAATGAACTTTAAAAATTATCGTTTTTTTACTGTAAAAAAAAAAATTTTAATTTAATTATTTAAACTGATCAAACAATTTATTTTAACAAGCTATAGTTTTTTATTACTAAAAGAAAGATTTTATTGAAAAAAAGAAATAGATGAAAAAACGATAATTTTGAGAAGGAACGTACTAAAATTTTGTTAAACGGTTGAAAAAAACGAATTGGGTCGTTCACAAACGATGAATTAACGAAATGAAAAAAGCCTAATACTCTCTAAATCTCTTTTTATGAGAACATGAAAGCTGAATTTTTCCACAATCCACATATAGATATAATTTTTCCAAATGCAGGGCTACCCTGAAAGGAAGATTATATTTTAAATATGACGGTGAAAGAGTTTATTAAGCCTTTTTCTTACATTTACCTTTACCTGAGGCTGTGAACTAGTATTTTTCTTTGTCAAATTATTTGAAATACAGATTAAATTTAAACCAGAACCCCAAATTATGACCTTCAGAATGTTGCATGCAAAGATTTTCAGGTCGTCCATAAAGTTTAATCCTTCCAGGGTAATCCTGTAAATCATTATATTTTTTTTTCTAGATATGTCTTTCTTATTAAACATACAAAACAGCTTTTTTCAGGTTTCTTTAAACAACCCAACTGAAAAAGGTAATTTTTTAAACTCAATTATAAACTTAAAACAATGAAAATCTATGTTTATTTTGATATTTATTATTTTTAAGGTTCTGTAGTAGAAAATATGTTCTCCAGTCAGATAATTTCTAAAAATTCTAAAAGATTTAAAGAACCTGAAGTTGGAGAAGGTAATAATCTAGGAGACAAATCTTTTTGAAAGATTCAGATTTTGTTAAAAAATTCCACACTGTTCTTTTGTTATTTTAGGTAGTATAGAAAGGGCTAAAGAATCTGAAACACTTTTCAAAAATGAAAATTTAGATGAAACACCAGAAGCTGTAAAGGTGTGTTTTTGTTCTAAGAAAATTTTCAGTAAAGCAGACTAGACTACAGCATTTTATCAATACAAAATATACTTTAGGAAGAAAACAAGTTTGATCCTCTTTCTGAATCTTACATTACTTCTTTTGGTAAGTTTCTTTATCAATTTGTTCTCATTATTTCATATTTCTAAATATAATTTTAAAATTAGCATGGGAAGGAAATAAGTTTCAGAAACAAAGGATCCCATTGAGTTCCCAGAGAATGATGAAGAAGCATCTGAACCTACCAATGAAAAGTAATCAATCACTAAAACTTTGTATGATTTAATTCTTAATGACTACTTTTTACAGGTATCAAAGATATTAAAGATTACATCAATGTTGGAGAAGGAAGAATAGATAACTCTGCAATAGGACTCTCTAACCAGATTATCGACAACAGTGAAGAAAAGTTAGATGGAAATCAAAATGTGAATATTGGTCCCTCTGATATAGATATTGGAACAAGAGATTTAAATCAGGAAGTTGATTCAAAACAACCAATGATCCAGATTGATGGTAGTCAAGTACTTGACAATAGTCAAGATGACTTAACAAACCCTGATCAATTACCTATTGATGATAGTATAAATGATCCCCGTAAGGTTGATACCAGGCTTTTGGCAATGGACAACAATCTAAAAGATTCTGCTCAGGAAATTCATTTTGACCCCATATTAAAGAAATCCGAGAGGGTAAAGTCATTCAAAACCTTTGACCATGGCCATCAGATACAGGCTAGAGAAAAAAATCTGGACTTCAAAATCCCTGAAACACCAATAGACCCTTCCGTTTTGGTCAATCCTGAATCTGGAGTTTTTGACACTGACAAACAGACATCAGGTCTTAAATTCAAACCTGTTGTTTCAATATTAGACAAAGAAAATCCAGATTCAATAGAGAAAAATGAAGTCAGTCTATTAACCCAAAATATTAGGGAAAATGAGGGCTCATTCCCAAAAAATACCAAGATAAAAGACAGCTCTTTTGCACAAAATAATATAGAAAACGAGAGCTTATTGACACTAAATACTTTGGAAAATGAAGACCTCTTATCAAAAATTACCAAGAAATATGAGGGCCCATTAACTGAAGATACTATACAAGATAAAGCTCCACTATTAGCAAATGCTGTCGAAGATGAAGCTTCAAATGCCATGGAAGATGAAGGCCTACAAAAAAGTGATCTATATTCTGATGTTAGGACTTCTCTAATAGAAGATAGGCCTAAGAATTCAAGGCCTACTTCTAGGATGAAATCAAAAGATTCTGAAGAATCCACTTTAGAACCAAAATCTCTGAATCAAATAATTAACGATCGTTTGAAAAACTTAGAAAAAGAGGTTAACCCAATCCCTACAGACATGAAACATATTCCCGATGAAGTTCCTGGCTCATTGTTTGAAAAACAAACCATAAACAGAGACACAAAAAATAGAAGAAAACTAAATTAATAAACAGCAAATTTAAACAATACAGTGTCCGAATTTAATGAATTTAAGCCCCGTCTCAATTTTCCCAAAAACCAGTTTCAATTGAGCGCCGGCTTAAATCTTGAAAAATTCAATACAATTTTTAGTGTACCAACCATATTTGAGCCGCGGCTCAAATTCTTTAAATTTGGTCTCAATAATCTGAACTGAATTGTGATTATCAGCTTTTATTCAAACAAATACATAATAAATATCCTTCTCATTCTTAAAGTTCCGTAACACAAAATAAAACATAATTATTGAACTTATCAAGTGCATAGCTTAGATAGAAAACAATTTTTATACAGTTTTAAAGAAAGGCGAAGATTCTTAGCATAGTCCACAGGCAGACGAACAAGATTCATAAACTCTTTGGCTGTAACAGTATCCAGCCCTAGCAAGGGAAACACAGTTACTGTATCTGTCAAAACAGACAGTTGAACTCACAGGAGTCATTCCAGGACACAATCTACAAGTCAACTGGCATCCTAGATAAACACTTTGTTAGTAAGGTTAGTGTCTCATCTTTCAACTGAAAACAACATTTATGTTAACTATGGATTATTAAGAATTTTTACCTGAGGAAACATCAGGGTGCCAGCACTGGTTGATATAGTCCTAACAAATTACTAATTTTTTCTAAAGAAAATTTTTTAAATTCAGATAATCATAAGCTAATATTCTAAAAGTAAGCTGATAATATTCCAGAAATTATTAAATTTGTTCCTTGCAGTTAGAAAATTTGTCAACACAGCTTGAGCTAACTGTTGTTGTTTGGGGCGAGGTTACTGATGTTGGGGGCAAAGTAACTGATGTTGGGGGTGAGGTTACTGATGCTGAAGTGCCTGAACATGACATGGACTCGTCTCCAATGGCTGCAACTGCAAATCTGTTCTCCACTAGGGTTCTGGCATTATCTGCAGTAGATGTTCCTGTTGCATAACCCTGGTATTTTATTAATGGACTAGAGTAGTAGTTGACTCTCTTCTCACCAGCAGTACTGTACGCCATAATACTTCTGTAAAGTCCTGGCTGAAAAACAATTAATATCTTTTATAATATGTTAAAGAATTTGCATTGCTTTGCATGTTTTCTTTTCTTGTTTAAAAAGGTTGTATTGCAGTTATACTTACAGCTATAACGTATCCATATGCATAATTGTTACTGCTGGTAGCTGCAACCCTTCTGTCATGAGCCAGCCCAAATCCATGACCAATCTCATGCCCAAAACTGAAATGTCCAAGAGCACATCCTTTAGCAACCGTTCCAATAGTTTGTCCAGATGATATTGTGTTGAACCAATTAACTCCACAGGAACCAGCATTGTTGAATGCATTGACAAGCAGTATTGTAGCATCTGCAGATTGTCTCACATCATTCAAAGTGTTCTAAACACATTATTTTCTTTTTGTTTGCTGGAGAGTGGATTCAAGTATGCTCCAAAAGTCTTTTGATTATTTGTATTGGTTCCAAAATGAATGTAGTTGTATTATATTTTTACAATACAAAACAATAATGCACAATGGTTCAGCTTAAAACATAAAACAAAAGAAAATTCAATATGAACCAATTAAAAATATGATTAAATAATTTTGTTCTTATCAGTATTTTTTTAAACAGACCATTCATTTTGAAATCACAGCTGAAGTACATTAAATGTTCATTTACAAGTAGATAATTAGTTAGCTATAAAATAATCAAACATTTTTAGTATTCTAAAACCCCACCTGAGATCGAGTGAACTGGTTAAGGGTATTGGTACTGTCCTGCCCATCAGGTATAGAGGATTCTTGAATGCAAAGTAATCTGACTCGGATAGGAACAAGACTGTTTTTGTATCCCTCGTTGGTCTCTGCAATCACCTAATGAAGGAAAATCAGAGATTGAAACTTTTGTGTTGATATTGTTAATCTTAAACACTTGATCTCAATATCCAATGTGGGCCCTTTTTAAATTTAGGATCAATGCTTAATCCCTGGAAAAATTTCCTGCAGGTATGATCACTGGATATTGAAGTTAATTTAAATTAATCCATAGTTCTGCATAAGATGGTGATCCATGCTTGATCCAAAGATTCACTCCACAAAAGTTTAGACTCCAGATTACTCAAGTTAATTAATTGTTTGAATTGATTTAAAAGTACCTGGTCAATAAATGTAGCTGGATCTGCTGTTGATTGCTTAAATATTTGTGTATAATATACTGTAACAGTACTTCTGTCATGAGCCAGCCCAAATCCATGACCAATCTCATGCCCAAAACTGAAATGTCCAAGAGCACATCCTTTAGCAACCGTTCCAATAGTTTGCCCAGATGAAATTGTGTTGAACCAATTGACACCGCAGGAACCAGCATTGTTGAATCTATTGACAAGCAGTATTGTGGCATCTGCAGATCGTCTCACACCATTCAAAGTGTTCTAAACACATTATTTTCTTTTTGTTTGCTGGAGAGGTGATTCAAGTCAAAAAGTCTGTTGATTATTTGTTTTTCTATAATGAATGTAGTTATATTATATTTTTTAAACACAAAATACAAAACAATAATGCATGATGGTTCAGCTTAAAACATAACACAAAAGAAAATTCAATATGAACCAATTGAAAATATGATTAAATGATTTTGTTCTAATCAGTATTTTTTTAAGCAGACCATTCCCTTATAAAAAGCTGATTTTTGGTATGCAACAATTTTCATTTAATCCCGCCGAGATATTTTCATTGAAAGATACTTTGAAAATCTACAAAGGCAAAAAAATCCGCAAAATCCGCAAGCCCTCGGGTTTATCATTGAATCCCCTCTTTAAAAAGGAATGTCATTTACTCTCATACAAATTAGAATCAATGGAAATTTGCCTGAGAGTAAATGATACATTGAATCCCGGCGGGATTTTTCATTAAACACTGCATTGAAAAATCTTAGAAATGCGCAAATTTTTTTTTACAAAATTCACAAATTCCAATTTTAAATCAGTCAGTTCTCTTTCAGCTTTTTAAAAAGGAATGTCATTTACTCTCCATTGATTCTAATTTGTCTGAGAGTAAATGATACATTCATTGTCCATTTACATTACAAATAAATAAGTAGTCAGCTATAAGATAATCAAGCATTTTTAGTATTCTAAAACCCCACCTGAAATCGAGTGAACTGGTTAAGGGTATTGGTACTGTCCTGTCCATCAGGTATAGAGGATTCTTGAATGCAAAGTAATCTGACTCGGATTGGAACAAGACTGTTTTTGTATCCCTCGTTGGTCTCTGCAATCACCTGTCAATGAAAATCAGAGATTGAAACTTTTGTGTGGATATTGTTAATCTCAAAAACTTGATCTCAATATCTAATGTGGGCACTTTTTAATTTGAGGATCAATGCTTGATCACTGGAAAAAAATAACTGGATATTGAAGATGATTTAAATTAATCCATAGTTCTGCATAAGATGGTGATCCATGCTTGATCCGAAGATTCACTCAACAAAAGTTTAGACTCCAGATTATTCAAGTTAATAAATTGTTTGAATTGATTTAAAAGTACCTGGTCAATAAATGTAGCTGGATCTGCTGTTGATTGCTTAAATATTTGTGTATAATATACTGTAACAGTAAACTCTACAACAGTTGTGGTGTCAGCACGGCCCTATGCACAAACATTTTTTTTAAAAGAAAAAATGAATAAAGTGTCAATAATTAATACCTGAGCCTGTAAAATCTCCATGCGGTCCAAAGAGATTGCATCATAAGTCAGATTTGCTTCCATTGGATGGTGTTCTGATGTCCAGACCGACTGATCTAAGAAAAAAAAAGATATCTCTAATTTAAAATCCATTTATTGTTGGGTATTGATGTGTTAATGAGCTTACCTATTTCAGCCCACACAACCCCTTCAGCTACTGTCTCTATGATGAAGGTCCGATCATCATTGAGAATAACTCTTCCATACAAACTATGCTTCTTGTAAGTAAGCACTGCCTCATTTCCAAATTCTCCCTTGTACACCAAGGTTACAGGGTTTCCATTACTCATGTCTAGAAAATCAGTTTTTAATAAACAGTAAAAACTTGGTCTTTTGGCTAAATTTAGATTTTTTAAATTTCATTAAAATTAATGTATGACTTATTTACCTAGTTTTCTAGACTCCTCCAAGTAAGTGAAATTAAGTTGGTTTCCATTTGGTAAAACAATGTTAGAATTGTTCTCAATCAACTCCCAGTTGACCTGTGCCAGTTCACAGCTGATGATCTCTTGACCATTGCATGGGGGTTCAGTGTACACTTGTCCAGATAGCATGAGCAGGTGTGAATCCATGTCCTCCATCATTAGCTGTTCACTGGTCGGCTGATTGCTTGTCAGCTGATCCTCAATCATATATGGCGCAGCTGCTAGTACTGCAGGTAGTCCTAAGAAAATAGAAATCTTTCAAGTTATTCATTAAAAATTATTGAAGAGCAAGCAATCACTTTCTAGATAAGAAAAAGTTAAATATTCCCAGGCACATTCCTAATGTCCTTAGTTACAGTAATAGCCAGTGAAAAGGGCAATATAAGTGTGTTGATCTTAGAACAAAAAAAATTGAATTTGTGACTGTTATAACACTAAATCTGAGCACTTACAAAAATCAACTTAAAGTCAAATCAAATCAAATCAAATGAAAGTTTCAGGGATATCCAAACAACCAACCAAATTAAGTACTAAAATGACTATACTAAAGGACTTACGGCCTGTGGTTAAGATGTTTACTTGCAGTGATTTTGGTTCCAGTGTAAAAATATGCTTATGTATCTTATGACTTTCATCTTTTGTTTGAATATGTAATATACCCGATGATTTAACCACACTCTAACAACACACTTTTCCCTAAACTAAACTTTAGTAAGAGGAGAGTAGAGATCGAACTGAAAGTTAAGTTGAAAGGATTGTAAAAAAGGTATGTTGAATCTTACATTTTTTGGTTAGTTAGGGGAATTAAGGACGTCTTTGTAACTGTTATGATTGATATTTTTCTTTACATGTTTAGGCTTATTCTACACTTACAATGGCTACATTTTACAAAATTTTTAGCAACGTTTCTATTTAATTAATTAAATTAACAAAGATGTCTTGTGATCATTTCAATACATGTTATCATTGAACAGTGTACACTGTAAATCTCGGAGTAAATTTTTTTTACAGTGGCTTCAAAAACATTCTTATAATTTTGACGACAGGTTTTCATGAACATTAAAAAACTTTACTACGGTAACAACCAGAAAACTCTGGACTAGGAAGACGACTTTCAGAATCAAGTTATGACTTTAAAAAGTCCAATGATCATGAGATACTCCAATTCTGCATGCAGTGTAAACAGACCAGTTTCACTAATTAGTGAAATAAGGTGTCTAATAAAACTATTTGCTTTCTAACGAACAAATATACACTTAAGTATTGTAATAATGTCGTCTTCCTATTACATTATTTTCTGGTTATCACTGTGTCAGTGACAAAAAGTTGTCATTTTTGTCACATCTTTTAAAAAAAGGGGGGAACATAACTTAGATCATTTGACATGGAGAGGGAAATAGTCTGCAGATTAGCGGCAAATTAAAGCTTCACCGAAATCCAGACACCTATCTTAGATACAAAAAATTTTCAACTTTATTTTTAATATTTCTAGACATTTTAGAACTATAAAGCACTTTTTTAGCTTTAGTTTTTTAACAAATATTTGCAAAGGTCTCATCGGTTTTTTGTATAAGAGCTTGCAACCTTAGGTATATGTTTATTTTTTAAATCATTTTTAAATAAAGAAGTGGCAACCTCCAAGCTTTGAAAAAGTACCTGTTACCCCCACCAAACCGAGGAGCACTATATTTATCATAATTCTAAATGTCGTCTTCAAGAAAAGGAAATGACAATATTAGGTTAGAAACCCTATTTTACTACTGATCATCTGTAATCCTCCAAAGTTATTTTATACTAATTCACAGCTGCAAGTAAACCCTTGCAATATGGATTCTGTGATATCTAAATGCAATCAGTCCATCTTTATTTTACAGTTTATATTTGTACCCTTGTATTTCCATTTAGATATGTATCTAATATCAGATACTTCTAACTTATTTTCTATTACAGGTCTATCTAATGGCGAGGTAAAGTAACTTTCAAAAAACATGAGCCGCTAACTTTAAATTATTTGTTCAGTTTGAAATTCCAATTTTTAAATTTGCACAAGAATTCCATTGTCATTAAATAGTGCACTAAATAGAGCATTGAACATTTGTGTATACTGAGCTGGGAAATTTAGAATAGATAACCTGTAATTCAAACTACTTAATCCGAATATCCACTGTGGAAACTTTTCATTTTAATCCTTAATCCACTCTTTTTCTTTCTCTTTGGATATCCGTACATTATTTTCTCCAATGAGAGTGCAGGAATATAGTTCGTGAATTGTATTGACCAATGACAGCCTTGAAAATAAATTCTAGAAAGTAGAAATCTGCAATTTCCAACAAATAAAGAATTTGTTGTCGGCCATTTTGTAAATTAATCGGCGAAGAAAAATATTTAATAATGCGTTTGAGATTCTTTTGTAACCAATTTTAACGAATTTATTTATAAATAAATGGGTCAGAAATTAAGTGAAGTCTCTTTCAGTCAAGAAAACAAACAAATCTGGCGTTCCTAGAATCAAATTTGTTGATCTAAATATTTAACCTCAAGACTAACATAATCTTTCGATTATGTTAGTCTGATATCCACCATTCTAAAGTTCCCAGCTCTATATAATTTCCATATAAAAGAAATTGTCAGTAAATAAACTTTAAAGATTGAAAAATTCAACATCGTAAAACGCATGTTACAGTAAGAATGTTTTTGGTGAGAAATTTTCTTTTAGCAGAAATTATTAGGAGTAGAACCATGCTCTTTGGGTTTCCATAATAGCAAAAATAGGCTCTCCAATGAATAAAATAATCTGTAAAAAATGTGTCTTTTTAATAAAAGAAATTACCTGAAAGAGGGGTAACGGGGACTAGGGGTGGGGGGCTGGTGCAGGGGGGATAGCTTTTGATAAAGGTCGACCCCTACGATCTTTATCAAAAGCTTCGATGATAAAAGTTGGTTTCTTAGGCTGACAAATTTTTCAGGTATTTCTAAATTTCATGCTCCCATGGTACAGGGTGTCCCAATAAACATGGGAATTCAGTGACGAATTTGATATCGTCTTTTCAAATAATTCTTTAATTTAGTATAAAGTGATACCTACTGAGAAAGCTGTAATCTGTAAGAGTTTCGTCTGCTATGTTCACATTTTGTTTGTTTATATTTTGACTGCATACGGGTTTACTTAGTAAAACAAGAAAATTGCAGTATACAAACAGAGTAAACTTGTCCGTATCCATTGTTCATTTTACGGAGACATTATAGACACAGCTTTACAGTCTTTTCCCCGTTTCATAAAATAAATTCTAGCAGACATAATAATATTATGGCTGTTGAAATTAGGTATTACAATACCAATTCATAACAAAGACGATATTGAATTCGTCACTGAATTCCCATGTTTTTTGGGACACCCTGTAGCAGGGGATAGGGTGGGAAGGGGTGTGTGTGATAAGAACAGTATGAGTCAGAACAACAATTAAAAGTTCATTGATAAGAATATACAGACGCAAAATTGCGACTTTAAAGACATAAGATGGCGACTATATAAACGCAAGATGGCGACTATACAGACACAGACTATACAGATGCAAGACTGCAACTTTACAGACCCAAGATGGTGACTACACAGATGCAATATGACGACTATACAACATGATGGCGACTATACAGACGCAAAATGGCAACTTTACAGACGTAAGATGGTGAATTTACGGACGCAAGATGGCAATTATACAGACACAAGATGGCAACTTTACAGATGTAAGATGAAGATGTTGTATTAGAAAGAAAGATTTTATTGAAGAAATGATTTCTGAACAAACAATTTTACTGAACAATAGTTAGTGAGAAAACAAAAGAAATAGATGAAAAAAGCGATAATTTTGAGAAGGAACGTAATCAAATGTTTTTGAATGGTTGAAAAAAAAAAAATTGGGCTGTTCACAAACAATGAATGAATGAAAGGAAAAAAGCCCAACAAGCCCATCTCTATTAATGAAAACATGAAAGCTGAATTATTCCACAATCAACATACTCATAAAGATATTATTTTTACATTATATGTAAATACAGGGCTGCTCTGATAGGAAGATACTTTAAATACAACGGTGAAAGAGTTTATTGTCTTTTTCTTACATTTAACTTTACCTGAGGCTTTACCTGTATTTTTCTTTGTCAAAATATTTGAATTACAAATTAAATTTAAACCAGAACCTTACCCCAAATTATGACCTTCAGAACTTCAGAATGTTGAATGCAAACTTGCAAAGAGTTTCAGGTCGTTCATAAAGTCTAACCCTTTGAGGGTAAACTTGTAAATCATTATATTTTTTTTCTAAATATGTCTTTTTTTTTAACACACGACCCCTTGGAGTGAGGGAGGGAGGGATGGTTACAATACCAAAGAGCTTTTTTTCAGGTTTCTTTAAACAACCCAACTGAAAAAGATTTAAAGAACCTGATGTTGGGAAAGGTAATAATCTAGTAGACAAATCTTTTTGAAAGATTCAGATTTTGTTAAAAAATTCTTCTGCCAAAGAATCTAAAACACAATTCAAAAATGAAAATTTAGATGAAACACCAGAAGCTGTAAAGGTGTGTGTTTATTTTCTAAGAAAATTTTCAGTAAAGCAGACTAGACTATAGCATTTTCTCAAGAAAAGTATACTTTAGGAAGAAAACAAGTTTGATCCTTGTCAATGGTAACAAAAAATTAGATGGAAATCTTAATGTGAATATTGGTCCCTCTGATATAGATATTGGAACAAGAGATTTAAATCAGGAAGATGATTCAAAACAACCAATGATCCAGATTGATTGTAGTCATGTACTTGACAATAGTCAAGATGACTTAACAAACCCTGATCAATTACCTATTGATGATGGTGTAAATGATCCCCGTAAGGTTGATACCAAGCTTTTGGTAATGGACAACGGTCTAAAAGATTCTGCGGAGCAAGGGTGTAATGCAAGGAAAGTTAATTGCGGTCGTGTATACTCTTTGTACATATTGAAACCAGTTCTCTTTGGGCAGAATTTGTAAAAAAGAATAGATGCATCAGTGTTCGTTTAGCATCCCAGGAGGTTAAAAGCATTAAATTTGGATAATTTTGATAATTCACATAATAGTTTCCTATGACCAGAATATTTCATTATTTTTGTGAAAAATGGATCCCATGTTTGTTGTATAATGTATTATACATTGTACAATTACAGTAAATATTAATCCGTGGGTACTGGTTGCCCCTTTTTACTTTGTTGTTTATCAGTGTACTGCACTGTTTACAATCTGATTAACCCAGCTCCACGCACTCAGTTAAGATCTGTTACCCAAACAATTATCAGGTATAAATCATATTCAATTGTCCAGAGAATTGTTATGCTGTATTGTTACAGATAAATTGTTCAGATCAGAGGGGTTAGGTATTATATTATCTTATTATAGATGTAAATTATTCATCTAATATATTCTTTATAGAATTGGTAAATTGGCGAGACTGTTGCACAGCCTTGGGAAGTTCTCGGGTTCTGTGCAAAAGCCTCTGTACAATAGAGGACTCACACATGTCCTCTACTTGTACATGCTAATCTCCTCCACCATCAACAACAGCGAGATAAACAACTGCAAGTAATATTATCTTGTTGTATGAACTGTGCTAAAATAAATGTTCAATAGTGTAACATGTCATTTAATTATCATCACATAGCCAAACCAAATGCACTGATAGTTTGGCAGATCTAACTCGTCTTTTTGTATAATAACCTCTTGGTAGTTTATACTACAATTCTGATAATTTTTTTCCCATGTGATGATATTAAGTGCCTATTTACACTAGCATTTAAAGGGATTGTTCAAGAAACACCCTAAAAATAGCTACAATTTAAAGGGATTGTTCAAGAAACACCCTAGTTTGCTGTATAAACTAAAGGGACTCGTCAACGCGAGATAGCTATATAGACTTAAAGGGACTGTTCCAGAAACGCCTTATCTTGCCCTGATACTAAAGGGACTGTGCTTTATAACCTTCCAACTGTATATTGAAGGGATTCAACACTAAAGGGATTGTTCACAACTTCCTTTAATCTTTAAAATGCTCTTTTATTCTGCAATATAATTTCTAGCTCATTATTGCAAAGATACATTGCAGGAATTGATTTGTATGCTGTATTCATTGATAATTGTCCAGTTGTATGGAAATTAATCAATCTAGTTTAGATGCAATGTACATCCAAGCTCACTATTTGCAAGGATACATTGCATATTAATTGATGCTGTATTGAGCAGTATTTGTATTGAAATTATACCATTTATATGGCAAATTAATTACAATAGTTCTTATACAATGTATGTCCAAGCTCATTATTGCAAGGTTAAATTGTAAATATAAATGCATCATTTGAGCACCGTTTATGTTTTCCAACTACATGGAAACTTCTTATCTATGTGCTCTTAACCATATGTGATCATGTCTAGTATGAGAACTCGATCACAAGGTTTATCTACAGCTAGTTCTGATGGTGTTCTAATTCCAGTTCCTACTCCAAGAACAAGACTTCCAAGTAGTTCTGATGGTGCTCTGGATCCAATTCCTACTTTGAGAAGAAAAATTCCAAGTAGTTCTGATAGTGCTCTGGATCGAATTCTCATTCTGAGAAGAAGAATGTCAAATAGTTCTGATGGTGCTCTAGCTCCGATTCCTACTCTGAGAAGAAAAATTCCAAGTAGTTCTGATAGTGCTCTGGATCGAATTCTCACTCTGAGAAGAAGAATGTCAAATAGTTCTGATGGTGCTCTAGCTCCGATTCCTAATCTGAGAAGAAAAATTCCAAGTAGTTCTGATAGTGCTCTGGATCCAATTCCTACTTTGAGAAGAAGGATTCCAACTAATTCTAATAGTGCTCTGGATCGATTTCTTACTCTAAGAAGAAGAATTTCAACTAGTTCTGATGGTGCTCTGGCTCCAATTCCTACTCTGAGAAGAAAAATGTGAACAATTTTGTACAATTGATATAATCTCGATACGGAGATAATAAATATCTAGATCTCAAAAACATTTGCAGTAGTTTGATGTCCTTCTGTAATTGTTTCTCCTACTGTAATTGTTTCTCCTGTAATAGTTTTTTATCCTGTATTAATTTTTTCTACTGCAGTAGTTTTTTCTCCTATTGTATTAATTTCTCCTGTTGTAGTTGTTTCAGCTCCAGTAGTTGTTTCAGCTGCAGTAGTTGCGTCTTCAGCAGTAGTAGTTTCTCCTACAATAGTTCTTACTTTTGCAGTTGTTATTTCTACTGATGTAGTTGTTTTTCCTTTAGTAGTTGTTTCTCTTGTCATAGCTGCTTCTCCTGTGGTAGTTGTTTTTTCTACTATAGTTGCTTCTACTACAGTTGTTATTTCTCCATTAAGAGATGTCTCTCCTGGGTTTGTTGTCAGTCCATCTGTAGTTGAATCTCCTACTATGGTAGTATCTCCTGTATTTGTTATTTCTCCTGCAGTATGTGTATTTTCTACTGTTGTTGTTTCTCCTACTGAAGTTGTTTCTTCTTTTTTATATGTTTCTTTAACAATAGTAATTTCTTCTGAATTAGTTGTTTTGTCTGCAATAGTTGTTTCTTGGCTGTAGTTGCTTCTCCTAGAGTAAATGTTTCTCCTGCTGTAGTTGTTTCTTCTGCAATAGTTGTTTCTCCTGCACTTGTTGTTTCTCCTTCAGTAGTTGTTTCTCCTACTGTATTTGTGTCTGCTGAAATAGTTGTTTCTTCTGCAGTAATTGCTTCTCTTACAGTAGTGGTTTCCCCTGCAGTAGTTTTTTTTCCTGTAGTAGTTGTTTCTCCTACTGTAGTTGTTTCTCCTGAAGTAACTGTTTCTCATATTACAGTTGTTTCTCCTACTGTGGTTGTTTCTTCTTTTGTAGTTGTTTTTCTTACAGGAGTTGTTTCTCCCAAAGTGGTTGTTTCTCCTGCATTAGTTCTTTCTTCTTCTTTAGATGTTTCTCCTACTAAAGTTGTTTCCCCTGCAGTCGTTGTTTCTCCTGCAACAGTTTTTTTTTCAGCAGTTGTTGTTTCTTCTAATATGGTTGTTTCTCCTACTTTACTTGTTTCTCCCATAGTGGTTGTTTCTACTGCATTAGTTGTTTCACCTTCTTTAGTTGTTTCTCCTACTAAAGTTGTTTCCCCTGCAATAGTTGCGTCTCCTGCAACAGTTGTTTCTCCTGCAGTACTTTTTTCTCTTACAGTAGTGGTTTCCCCTGCAGTATTTTTTTTCTTGTAGTAGTTGTTTCTCCTATTGTAGTTGTTTCTCCTCCTGTGGTTGTTTCTGCTTTTGTAATTGTTTCTCCTACAGTAGTTGCTTCTCCCATAGTGGTTGTTTCTCATGCATCAGTTGTTTTATCTTTTTTAGTTGTTTCTCCTACTGTAGTTGTATCCCCTGCAGTAGTTGTTTCTCCTGCAACAATTGTTTTTCCTGCAGTTGTTGTTACTTCTAATGTGGTTGTTTTTCCTACTGTAGTTGTTTCTTGTACTGTTGTTGTTTCTCCTTCTTTAGTTATTTCTTCTACTGTACTTGTTTCTCCTGCAAAAGTTGTTTCTTGTACTGTTGTTGTTTCTCCTCCAGTAGTTGTTGCTCCTACTGTTGTTCTTTTCCCTGTAGTAGTTGTTTCTTCTACTCTTGTTGATTCTCCTGCTTTAGTTTTTTCTCCTGCAGCAGTTGTTTCTTCTGCAGTAGTTGTTTTTCCTAATGTAGTTGTTTCTCCTGCAGTCTTTGTTTCTCCTACTTTAGTGGTTTCTACTAATGTAGTTGTGTCTGCTACTGTAGTTGTTTCTCCTACTGTAGTTTTTTCTCCTTCTGTAGTTTTTTCTGCTACTGAAATGGTTTTACTTTTTGTAGGTTTTTCTCCTACTGTTGTTGTTTTACCTGTGGTAGTTGTGTCTCCTACATTAGTTGTTTTTCCTACCATAGTTGTTTCTCCTACTGTAGTTGTTTCTTCTACTGTAGTTTTTTCTTCTACTGAAGTTTTTTCTTCTACTGTATTGGTTTCTGCTACTGTAATGGTTTTACTTTTTGTAGGTTTTTCTCCTACTGTTGTTGTTTTACCTGTGGTAGTTGTGTCTCCTACTGTAGTTGTTTTTCCTACCGTAGTTGTTTCTCCTACTGTAGTTGTTTCTTCTACTGTAGTTTTTTCTTCTACTGAAGTTTTTTCTTCTACTGTATTAGTTTCTCCTACTGTACTTGTTACTCTAACAATAGTTGGGTCTACTACTGTAGTTGTTTCTCCTGTAACAGTGGTTTCTCTTGCAATAGTTGTTTCTTCTGTAGTAGCTGTTTTTACCAAAGTAGTTGTTTCTCCTTTTGTAGTCGTTTTTTCTATAGTAGTTGTTTCTTCTACTGTAGTTGTTTCTCCTACTTTAGTTGTTTCTACTACTTTAGTTATTTCTACAACTGTAGTTGTTTTTCTTTTATTTGTTGTTTCTTCTGCAGCATTTGTTTCTTTAGCATTATTTGTTTCTCCTTTTGTAGTTATTTCTCCTGGAGTAGTTGTTCTTCCTGTAGTGGTTGTTTCTTTTGCATTAGTCGTTTCTCTTGTTGTAGTTGTTTCTCCATCTGTTGTTGCTCTTGCAGTATTGTTTTCTGCTACTTTGGTTGTTTTTCCTGCAGGGTTGTTAATGGTTTTTAAACCCATCAAAAGTTTATTGTTTTTTTCATTTTTCTAAACAATGACACCATTGTTTTTTTGTAAAAAACATTGAACCATTTGAATTGAACTTTAAATAACTTCAATGAAAGCATGATATGATTGTTTTAATTAGAAACAAAAATTTAAAAAAAAATTATCGAAATAAATAAGATTTGTAAAAAAAGTTTTATGTCATATTCCATTGGTTTTCATTTTGTGCAAAATGACCAAGTGTTTTTTAGCTTAAAATATTCCTGATCTAGGACCTTAACTTATGTTTTACTAAAAATTGTTAGGTAAGTTTAGCTAGGTAGAGGAGATGTTTGATCAGGGGTAGACAGGGTCATAGTGGATAAATCCATATAAATGATGGGAAGCTATAACTTATTGGTAGGATCATTAACAAAGTGTTTCGCGACCTGTTGGTCTCGTTCTATTTATGTGTAGCCCCTAGATGATATCTCTTAGTTGCTGTGATACCCCTGGATCTTAATGTATGCAATGTCTGTGTACTCTCTATAAAATGGCACCAAAACTAGTTTTACTTGTAAATATGAGGAAACTCGTGTGGACTGTACAAAATTTCCCAGTATTAGCTTAGAGTTGGGTCAAGAAACATGTTTCTGTAAATTTATTGTTTATTATTACTTTGCGGTTCAAATGGGCAGTAAAATGATATATTTATAACCCATCTGATTCTGTTCAAATAGATAGATTAACTAATGTTAATACTGATAGATTTATTTCTATCCCTCATATTAGCGTCACAGAATTTATTGATGATTATTACCAACATAATATGGAGAACCGTTTAGACAGTAGAATCCAGACCAGATCTAGAGAGGGTTCTAATTCTATTGATATGCGACTGAGAAACTATTATACCTACATAAAAATTGCTGTTTTTGAATGGATGAGCATGCTACAAATTCAGTACAAACATTATTTGTCATAGATAATAGACATAGCCAGTTGTGTGCAGAAATTGAGCAACAGATTATGCGTTGGTTGGCGAATTTGGGAGTCTAAATGGCATACTGCTCATTGTGAGGAAAGAAGCCATACAGTTAGCCAGGTCCCGGTAAAATCAACCTACCCACTTTGCAACGAACCCACAACCTGATGTTACTGCAGAGATACCTTACACAACTAATACTTCTAGGAACTTTAATCTTGATAATTGTTGTATAATGTATTATACATTTTACAATTACAGTAAATATTAATCCGTGGGTACTGGTTGCCCCTTTTTACTATGTTGTTTATCAGTGTACTGCACTGTTTACAATCTGATTAACCCAGCTCCACGCATTCAGTTAAGATCTGTTACCCAAACAATTATCAGGTATAAATCATATTCAATTGTCCAGAGAATTGTTATGCTGTATTGTTACAAATGAATTGTTCAGATCAGAGGGGTTAGGTATTATATTTTCTTATTATAGATGTAAATTATTCATCTAACATATTCTTTTTAGAATTGGTAAATTGGGTGGGACTGTTGCACAGCCTTGGGAAGTTCTCGGGTTCTGTGCAAAAGCCTCTGTAGAGGACTCACACATGTCTTCTACTTGTACATGCTAATCTCCTCCACCACCAACAACAGCAAGATAAACAACTGCAAGTAATATTATCTTGTTGTATGAACTGTACTAAAATAAATGTTCAGTAGTGTAACATGTCATTTAATTATCATCACATAGCCAAACCAAATGCACTGATAGTTTGGCAGATCTAACTCGTCTTTTTGTATAACACCCTATTGGTAGTTTATACTATAAAAACAGTATTTAAAAATAGGAAAACAGTATTTAAAAATAGGAAAACAGTATTTAAAAATAAGAAAACAGCATTTAAAAATAGGAA